ATTTATGGGCAAAGTAAGGGCTGTTCTATTTGTGTTGTGGTGGTACAATGTTCTAAGTGTTTGGGCAGCCCAAGCACTGCTGGTGGCATGGTAACTAGAGGAGCAAAACTTGGGAGCCTTGGGATGTAGACAGCCCATGGTGGTATATTTGATAACAGCAGGTTCTACCCACAAAATACCCCTGTGGTTAAAAGTGCTCAGGGGAGTGGATGTGCAGCCATTTCTGGAGGTAACCTGAGTCCTGGCAAGAACTCCTGACGATCACTGAGAGCCTTTCCATTTATTTCAGTGGCTGCTTTATGGAGCACGAGAGTTAATTCTGTGGGTAAATGGCTTTTCCACGAGGAAAGCAGCATCACCAAATCAGAGCCCAAGATGTGCTGTGGGAGCCTCCCAGGTCACGGTGGCAGCTCTGGGGCTGTTCCCCAGAGCGTAGCCTGGATTCTGTCAGGAATTCTGGCACATCTGGGGTAGCCTGTGCTCGGGGATGGTCACACCGCTGCTCCAGCAGATCCTGAGAAGGAACAGCAGGATGTAACAGCCAGGTCTGACTGTGGCTGTCCTGGTAAGGGGAGACAGAAGGAGCTTTGGTGATGATGCAGCTGCTCCCCTGGAATATGGCAGCGTTTGTTAAAGAGGAGCCTACAGTTCAATTGCGTTACTATGCCCCTGACAATCAGGAAACCCCACAACATGGGAAGCTTCATCCTTTCCTGTGTCATTTAATGGTGAACTTGAATCATGAAAACCCAAACCCCAGATCCTACATAATGTAATTATATTAATAAATGAAGTTCATCCATTCCACATAATATGTCCTGGTGCTACAGAGGGTTTCTCCCCTCCTTTTGCCTTTGTTCTCTTTATTGAGATGAGCATCCTTGCACTGCATCAGGAGGAGTAAATAACCTCAGTTATCCATCTTTGCTCCAAAAGAAACAATTACAGCCTTTCCAGTCCCTCTTATGGATCCTCCCCAGTGCACTTCCACTGTCCCTGTCCTTCTGTTTCCCCTCCTGCCTTCGTGTCTCCCTTTTGACAAAGAATGACCAGAAGCACATGCAATGATCCAGGCTGGGGATTGCTGCTGCTGAGGTGCCTAATAGGATTATAGGATTTTCAGCATTAATCCTTATCCTATTCTTTAGGCAGTCTAACCTTTTACTTAGATTTTTGCCTCCTGTTGCACAATTATTTGACTCTTCAGTGATTTCTTTACAGCTGCTGTTTTGTCCTTTTTTCAAGGTGATTGTAATTGGTGTAGGCCTCCAGCACAGAGCAGTGTAAGGACTGTCAGGTTGTTGTGGTTTTTTGTTTAGTGCTGCAAGTGAGCTTTTCCTGGCTCCCTGATGGATGTCACCTTGTCTCTCTCTGTGCCCTGAGGGTGTCTGCTTGCTTTAGCCCGGACTGCAGAACATTTCTGTGGCTTTAAATGTAGCAGCTACTCTACATCAAGCTCTGGGAGGTTTGATGATCAGGATATCTGCTTCTGCATAGAAGGTAAAAGGGCCAAGGCTTTCTTGGGTACACAGCTCATTCAAAGAAGCTTTGGAAGATGGAAATGGGTGGGGAGTGGGTTGATGCTGGTTTCCTAAGGAAATGAGACTTAAGTTGTCTGTTTTTCCACTGCTGCAAAACTTTTGGATCTGCAAAGTGCCTGTGGCCAAAACAGATGGGTCAGAGAGGTCTCAAATATAATTTTACACATTATTCCTAAGAATTAGCTGCTGGATAGGAGACAGTTTTATAGCACTGTCTGCCAGGAGGTAAAAGCTGCAGTGCTGACTCCATAGGGAGGTCATTGATTTGGCTGGCCAGCACAGACAGACAGACAGACAGAGCCTGTAACACAGAAAGAGTCTCAGCACATCTGAGTCCCAGCTCAGCTGGCAGCTGTGGGAGGGATCTGGGGGGCAGTCCTGTGATTTTGGGGAGGTGGGAAGAAAGCTGAAGGTGCTGTGACCTGTTCAGGGCACATCAGAGGCGTGGCAGAAGAAGGATGCAGAGGCGAGGAGCACTGGGGAATGGTGTGGCTGGAACTGGGCTGCAGTCTCAGACTGGGGGCTGTCAGGATGAGGGAACAGCTTGATTTGGAGGCAGGGAACTGATGGGCAATGAGGAGCAAGGAGCCCAGGAGCTCCAGGGTGTGGGAGAACAAATGCAGGGAACAGCAGAGGAAGAGGGTGGTGGCACTGCAGGCAGTGAAGGAGAGGAGGGACTGAGGTAGGATGTGATAAAAGAGCAAACCAGCAGGGGTTAGGAACAGCGTTTTCAGGCATGGAAAGCAGAGATAAGTTACTTCAGCTTGTTAGGCTGGGAGTGGGGGTGATGGGGACAGGGGAGAGGGGTTTAAACATGGGGGCACCCAGGTGGGGTAGGGAGCACACAGAGGAGGTGGGAAGGAGACTTGGACAGAGAAAGACTTTATGGCTTTCAAGGGACAAAGGAGGGACAAAGGGTCAGCCTCAGGTTTGTGTGTTGCGTGCAGAAGGAGAGATCTGGCAGCATTCTGAGCATGGAGATGAAGGAAGGCAGGAATCAACAATAACTTTAATTATGCAGGAAGCTTGGATGAGGGGGAAGTGAGAATTATTGTCTTCAGCAGGGTAGAGGAGCTGAGGGAAGAGATGCAGGATTGATGTGTGTGTTTGAGTTAAATCAGTTGTACTCAGCCCTGATCCAAGGCCAAGTGAAGACAGTAACTTCAAGAGACTTTTTGGAATATCCCTATACACAAATATTTGTTTTATAACCCCTGAGTATGCTTTACAGAAATGCCCAAACATCTTTTGTCTTCCATTTGTAGAGTGTACCCCAAGATTGTGACCCCAAGCCACTTAGGAAGCCACAGCAGTGACAAGACTGGCTTCCAACATTCCTTAGAACAATTTTCAGTCTGGTAAACCACAGCAGTAATAAATGTCCATATATGCACACAACACGCTGCAAGGCAAATCTGTGAAACTCTGAATCTCCAGTTTAGGGAGATCACATCACCTTATTAACTGTCCCTCGCTCTGCACATGCAAAATTATTGCAATTTCCTTCCCTCACAGGATTTTCTTTTCCAAGTATTTATTGTCTGCAACTAATTATTTTATGCTATTCCTATAAACCATTTGCTTCTTCAGGATCCAGTGACTTTCTGTTACCAGCACAAACTGAGGAAATGAATATCAATCATTCAGTGATTATTTGCAGGAAATAAAAGTGTGAGATAGCAGCCACCCTGGGCCAAGAAGGAAGAACAGCATTGCAGTGCATTTTATAAGGAGAGCCAAAAATATTTTCCATGTGCTCAGCTGTTATTTTCTGAGTATTGTAGCTTTCTTCCTTTTGTGAACTCTTCCTTCTTTGGATCAGGTCCTGCTACCACTGAATTCGGAACATTTGTTGTTATATCTCATTGAGAGCAGGACCAAGGCACTGTGTGTGTTCATCCTTGCCTTAACCCTTGTTGCTGTTTGGTGGGATACTGCAAGGGACAAAACCCCTTCTGGTTTCCCAGGATCTTTCTGAGGGTTTGTATCTGATCCTTGCAGATAGCCCAAGCCCCTCTGAGTGAGATAGGTTTGGAGCTGACTGCTGCCAGCAAAGCTTTTGGAAACCAGTGGGAAGCCTCTGTAAAATGTTGGATCTCCTCACTCAGTAGCTGCTTTTCTGAAGTCTGCATTGTGCTTCAGGTCCTGCTAAGCCATGCTACAGTGAGCATGATGAATAGCAGGCAAATTGCCTTTGGTCCCTGCTTTGGAAATCAAGATGTGTGCTGGCTCACCCCATTCTTTCATAAATACCTTCCTGAGCTCCGGGAAGGAGGATGCTGCACCGTATCCCAGAGTGTTAATTTTTAATGTCTTCTGCACGTAATGGACTTGACTGTAATTACGAGTCCCTCAGCACACAGTCACTGCTGGCAGGGTGGAAAGAGATGGCTCTGGGTCCATGTGGCTCCACAATTAGGGATTGAAACATTGATCATTTTCATTCCCAGGAGCAGAGGAAACAGTTGTGCGAATTAAAAGCAAAAGCTTCAGCGGAAGGATGGGTAGTTGCAAGCCAATAAACATTACCCTGCAATCTATTAAATTTAGACTTTGCAGCATCATGCTCCTGCTTTGAATAAAACTGACTGAAACCTGGGCAGGGCAAAGTGGTTTTGACAAGCCTATGCTTACGTCCAGAATAATCCAAGTGAATAAGCATGTAGGCAGTGATGCAGAGAGAACCCAGGATAAAAAATTCTCCACGTGTTTTGCTCAGTAGTGCTATTTTTAACTTACAGATCCCTGTTTCTTTCTTACATGAAATCTTGAAGCTGACAGCATCCCTTTCAGGCTTGAAAATGAAAGGAAGCTGTCTGAAAGAGCAGCAGAGCTGGGATTTTTAGGCCTGATCATGTTGGCATATCTTGGTGGGCAGAGTCCTTCTCCTTTCATGAGCCCAGATTGACTTTACTGAACAGTGCAAGGTTCTTCCCTATACCAGGTTTAATGTAGGATAAGGCACCCAAACCACTGCATCACTAGAATGTGGATCCTGCTTTATCATCTGCCAGCTTTTCAGAGTACTGAATAGAGGTGGAAGGGATTTTAGACCAATAATTCTCTCTCTGAAAGCAATACTCCCATATTCCTGGTGTTGCAGTAGATTGTTTCAAGATCAGACTTTTAATTGTCTTTTGAAAGCGTGGTGGTGGCCTTTTTTGTTTGGTTTGGTTATTTTGCTTTGTGTGTAACTCACAAGGTACAGCTTTGGAAACCATTGCAAAAGGAAAATCAGCCTGAATCTCTGCTCTTCATTCAAGTCAGTGGCAATAGCTGCTCTGAATTCAGTGATGCAAAATCACTCCTGTGCTGTACTTAGTGCACTCAAGCTTAAATCAAATCCTAACACTTTTTACCAGTGCAAAACCCACATTTAAAACACAGAGGGGGAAAAAAAATCTTTCCCTGTGACAGGAAATCAATTTAATCCCTTTATTGTTTGTTTGTTTTTTCCAGGCTTATATTTGGCACACTTTACCCTGCGTATTATTCCTACAAAGCCGTGAAATCAAAGGACATCAAAGAATATGTGAGTAATGAGGTTTGTGGCTGTGCTGGGGGGTTGTTTTCTGAGATTGCTCCTCACCACGTTGGAAAGGCGTTGTCTGTATTCTGGGAAAGCTCATAGAGGGGCAGGCGGGCCTGAAGGTGGGCTGGGTGATTGCTGGGCACAAATGAGCCCTGGGTTTGTGCTCCAGGTTCCAGTGCAGGGCTGATGTGCTCCTTGGCACACGCATGCTGCTCCTCTGGTGGTGAGATACGCAGCTGGCTTAAAGGGCATTTGGCATCCAGAGCTTTGTGTGCTCTTCTTTGTTTCTGAAGGGCAGCATAAATCAAAGGCTTTTCAAGAAGCCTTGAAGCTTTAGCTGCTCATTCAAAGCAAGGATAAGAGGAGGCAGCTAGAAGTGCATATGACTGAATCTCAGACAGAAACATCCTTCCTCGCAGGGCGACCTATTTACAGGCAGGTCTGGCAGCTGGCTGTGCTCTCGTTTTGCTTTTTGCTGGAAAATCTTCCCTGGGCCCTGGTTTCTAAAGGCATATGGGGCCATCAGGGAAAGTGAAATGGGAGAGAATCAAAAGCCCTTGGATGCTGTTGGGGTTCTGTGGGATTTGTGGTGCCCTTCACAACCTGAGCTCTTTTAACTTCACTGAGCCCAGCTCAGCCTCCAGATCTTGACTCTCCAATCCTCTCAAGATCCCAGGGATAACAAGCCCATTTTCTCATCTGGATAAAAGCATACATGTCTATCCCATTAAATCTTTAGTGCAAACTCAATCTGGGGCTCACTGTGGCTGCTAAGAGTTCTGTTCATAATTTTCCTCCTTCAGAAAATGGTTTTGGGTTATTTTGAGAATCATAAGTGTTACAGAACACAGCAGATACTTAAGGTGAAATGTCTCTGCAGCCCTTGCACAGCTGAGTTTCTCAGGGCCTCTTTGCCTGAAAATGCTGAAGATGTGCACAAGCATCTCCAAGCAGTGTCTGCCACTCATAATTTATGTTTCCATAGTCTCTTACTGGAAGGTCTTTTGCTGAAGGGTCCAATTCCTGTTGGAAATTGAATTGGAAAAGAGGAACTCACCTCAGACACTTGTGCTTGTGACGCAAATGTAGAACAGCTGATCTGGCCTGGTCTGCCCTTACCATTGATTTCAGTTTAATTTAGCAGTTGTGGCAATGTATCCATTAAGGCCTGATTAAAAAAAAAATTATAAATGAAGTAATAATTTACACTGACACAGGAGGAACTTTTACTTATTAATCAAAACTTACATCACTCTAATTTTATTCTGCTTGGTAATGGTAATTTTGATGAATGTTTTAGGCTGATCCAAGCCCATCCACACCAGGTCTTGGTTTGTGTTTAAAAGTTTTGCTGGCAGTAATATCTAAGTGAGAGAGCCACGTTGGCACTGAGGCTCTGAGGAGCCACGGTTACATAACAAGTCTGGCAGAAGCTGCACTGGGAAGATGATGCTCTCAGGCATTTGGCAGTGCCATTATTGTTGTAACACTACATATAGATATAAATATGCACATAAATATAAATCCCAGGAGAGCAGTTATGTAGCAGAGTGACAGGTGCTCAGGGAATAATTCCAGTACTTACAGGAAGATGGAGACTATCAGCACTGTCCCACTGTATCAGGGAGAAGATGGGGACATCATTTCCATGCTGGTGAGATCCAGATTTATTGATGCCTCCATCTTCCATTCCCCAGAGCAGAACCTGCTGTAGGTATCCCTCTTGTGCTGTCTTCCCTCCAGCCTTTCCTTACCTATTGCGATTGTTCCAGCCTTAACTGACATGGTCCAATTCTCTAATTCATGGATTTTCATGGATTTTCATGGATTTTCATGGGTTTTACTTCCTTAAGCTTTTTAACATTCCAGCAAAGCTGCTTAGGGATCTCCATTTTCAAATACACCCAATTAAACAGCTGTTGTCAGTTAAATTAACAACCTTTGTCTCACCATCTTTTTCCATCCTAAGAAGAACCAATACTACATACTTCAGGATAGTTGAGCTGTGCTTTTAGGTGCCATTAAGTGCTCAGTGACAAAAATGTCCAAATTCCTGAATTGCTTGAGCTGCTGCGGTTTATCTGACCAAGTCACCATCCCCAAAGACTCCCTTGCTGTCACCCCAAAGGAAACCATCATCCCTGACACTGGGGTTTCTCCAGATGAACAGAGAGCACAGCACATGCTCTCACTACCAGTGTGAGGTAAAACATTCCACACTAAGCCCAAGCCAAGGGATTTAAACTCTTGCCCTTGTCCCTGCACTGGGTATGGTGGGAGCAGGCACAGCCACCCCAGGGCTGCCCACTGAGTCAGTGAGTTGTGGTGGCTTGATTGTGCTCCTGAGCCCTGAATTATGGCATGGGCAGTTACCTCTTTACCCTTTGCTGGCTGTAGGTATTATGGAAGTAATTACATTTTGTCTCAGCTGGAGTTTGGCCAACAACCTTCTCTTAACATCTGCTATTAACTGAGCCAGGTGAGATTTTTAATGCCCTGTGATAGGGCTGTCATGCTCTGCTGGCCAGAGGAGTTTCTGTAGGGACAGAGTCAGGCTGTGCTCTTCTTTTCCTGAGACCAATCCTAAAGGCCACAGTCACCTTCCCAGGCTGTGTAAATCTGACACGTGTTACGTGCTGAAGTGGGGCAAACTGGCACCTTCAAGTCCCCAGTAATTGCTAAATACACAGTAGGGGAGGGCGAGGGGGTAAGGATTTCTTTTCCCGTGAGAGTTATTCTGTGCACTTGTGCCTGTAAGAGATAGTTTGAGGCTGTTTTTGTTTACCAGGTCAAGTGGATGATGTACTGGATCATATTCGCGCTCTTCACGACGGCAGAGACGTTCACGGATATCTTTCTTTGCTGGTAAGCACCAGGGGGAGAGGCTCTTTGGCATGAGATGAAAAGGAAATGGAAATGTTTACAAGGAGAAAAAAATGGCACACAAAAGTGCACTGACTCCTGCACAGGGGTTCAGCAGCTTCAAGTGCATAGAGGGTTTTTGTCTGCGGGAGACATGGTTCCTTTCTCGGTGCTGTCACAGAGAAAAGAAAGAAGTGCAAAGGCTCAGTGGTATCTCATTAGTGGGAAATCATTACTGGAGTGTCAGCCCTGCCTGTCAGAGAGGCACAGCTGACTGCCCAGTTGGATGCTGCAGAGGTCATCACATAAATAACAGTTGATTTAGCTACAGGCAGAGTTTTAGACTTGCCTGGCTGTATCCTGCAGTAAATACACAGTGAGGATCAGGTGCAAACAGCCCTGCAGCACAAGCCTTTGTAGGTTGCTGTGTGGGTAGCTGTTCCTGGGATGCTTTTCCTGGCACGTTCCTGGTTAGGCTGGGTTTCTGGTTTGATGGAGGACAGTGACAGTCAGCCCTGATGTGGCTCTCTGGTGCCAGAGCAAGGATTCCTGGTGGCCTCTGTCAGGATGGGAGTACCTAAATGCCCATTTATCGGTTTCAGTGGTTTTTGGATGCTCAGGTTTGAAAGTGTTTGTTGCTTGGTTGGCAACAAGGCCTTTCTACCAGAAATCTGTAGATTTAGGATGAAAATGTGGCTGTAGTGCATGGCCCTTACAGCCTATTCCTGCGCAGCACTGCCTGCCAGATGAAGGAAATCAGGAGAACTTGGCAACATGTCAGATCTATTGAAAAGGAGATAAGACATTAATGCCCATCTAATTTGCATGCAGATCTGCCTCTCCTATGCTCATCTGGAGCTTTGTGGTTTGTTTGGAGGATGAATTCTGTGGCTCTGCCAAGAGAAATGGCAGAGGGCTCACCCAGCCTGTGAAATCGAGTGTGCTGTAGAGATCCCCAGTGAGGTGGGAGATGAACCTGGCCCATCCATGCTCAGAGCAGAGCATTGCAGAGGCCCCTGGTGTCAGACCTGGGTGCTGGCTGGCTCAGGGACAGCACTGAGCCCTGAAGCCTCTCTGGGTCAGCACCACAGGTCTCTGCACTGCTCTTGCTTGCAAAGAACAACAATTGTTCCTCACACTGCTGGCAGCAACATGCCTGCCCACATGGAGATGCTGCTGGGGGGCCAGTCTTGAGCTCTGGGCTCTGTCCTCCAGAAAAGAGTCTGGATAATTTAATTTTGGGATGTCCCTGGCTGCTTGTTACAGCTAAAGCATGGCCTGTTGTTGATGTCCTCCATGTTTTGCAGCCTTACTTGAAAGTCAGTGTGGATCTGCACGTTTATGTTGCTTGGACCACAAAGGTTCTTGTATTTCAATTTTAGTCATGGGAGTGTTAGCTTAAAAGCTGAGAGGAGATGGAAAGTGCATAAATACATATCAATGTATTGGTTTGCTGGTTTGCTCTTTGCTTTCTCACAATGACTGGGGATACTGTGAAGACAGCACCGGTGATCTTTGCATATAGAAAGCTCCTCTTATCACATGTCAGAGTCTCTTCCAGATTATTAAATAATGGTTCTGATAACCAAGTAAAGATTCACCCAAATGTATCATTGAGATGTGCTCAAAACTGAGTTAATGCACTTTAATCCTTAGATTTTGTTGGTAAGCAAAAGCTGCCTTGAGCTAGGCTGGCAAATCCCTACCTGTGCTGAGCATCTCTAATTAAGGGCAGTGGTTAAATTGGGAGCAGACAGTAACCCTCTCTTTCTTCTAGGTTTCCATTCTACTATGAACTCAAAATAGCTTTTGTAGCTTGGCTGCTGTCTCCATACACAAAAGGCTCCAGCCTCCTGTACAGGAAATTTGTTCATCCAACTCTGTCTTCAAAAGAAAAGGTAATCAGAGGTGCCTGGGTCCTCTCTGGGTGGAACAGAACTGTGGTGTGTTTATTCCACTCCCTGTATCATTCATTTCCATTGAAGGGCTGGGAGTTGCTGATTCTCTTCCTCTATCATTTGATCCCCTCTTTTTGGTTGGTGTTTTTGTTCTTTGTGGTTCTTGTGTTTTTAAATGCTGGCATCTGTTCAGTGCACTCACACTTATTAACTCATTTTGGTGCAGTTGAGAAGGTTGGAGGGAAGGGGGGTAAAAATACTCCCTGAGCTGCTTTGCATGTACTGGCTGATTATAGCTGGAGTGCTCTGTTGTGGCTGGATATAACAAACAGAGAAACTTGCTCTGGCAGCCAGGACTCCTCAACTTTGTTCTGCCTAAAACATTGTACAGCAGTGAGACAAACAGCCCAGGCAGTCTAAAATGGGCTTAGCAAGCACATGCCTGGCTGTGTAGTGTGGTGGAAAAAGGCATGTAGCCTGTTGGGGTCCTAGATTAAAAAATGCCTTGCTCAAATTAAAGATGCTAATTTTGGGAGGGGGATATTACAACTTGGATCATTTGCCTGCCTGGGAGATTGCTGTGGCTGTGAATGGGACAGTGTCAGGCTGATCCATTTGGCTCATGAGAATAAATGGACCAAGAGCAGCTATTGTCACACACCAACATGAAAACTGCTGAGTGAGGAACTGTTTCCTGCACTGGCAATTTGGAGATGGAAGCTCTCCCTTTGGCCACAGGCAGGGAAGGAGCAGTTGGATCTCAGTCCTGTCCAAGGAGAGTGGGAATCAGTCCCCTGTCTCTGCTTCCCTTTGTGCTTCTCCCAAGTGGGGCTCATGCATTTTGAGCTGCCACCTCTTACCTGTGGGCAATGGGGAGAGCAGCCAGCAGCTCCTCACAGACTCCAGGCCCCAGTAACCCAGCACATCCACCAGCTGAGAGCTGGGAGTCCTTGCTATCATTATCATCCAGACCCCAGTGTCCTGAGGGAGGGACAAGAAGGGCAGGAACCTCCCCAAGTGTTTCACTGTAAATTGAGCAGCATCAAAGTCCCGAAGCTCTGGGCCTACCAATCCCATGGGCATCTGAAGCCGGGCACTGCTGTGATGTGCAGAGATATCCCAGATATTTCTGAGGCCACCTGTCCTGGCCACAGGGCAGTGCAGCTTCAGCTGCCCAGTGTCATCATGTGAGTATTTTTAGCCATGAGGCAATTCCATTTGTCTTTGGAGTGCACCATTTGCAAATGGCTATGTGTCGCAGACATCTTTTATGAAAAATCTTTTCCTTAGGATTTTTCCTCCTGAGAAGCTGAGAGGCCTCAGGAACAAAATGTAAACATTGATTATTTGCTGCTGTGGAATACAACAGGTGGATCTGTGATTGGCCCATGTTAGATGTTTGTAATTAATGGCCAATCACAGTCAGCTGGCTCGGACAGAGAGCTGAGCCACAAACCTTTGTTATCATTTCTTCCTATTCTATTCTTAGCCAGCCTTCTGATGAAATCCTTTCTTCTTTTAGTATAGTTTTAATGTAATATATATGATAAAATAATAAATCAAGTCTTCTGAAACATGGAGTCAAATCCTTGTCTCTTCCCTCATCCAACTGTGAACACCATCACAGCTATCAATTCATGTTGCTCAGGCAGATTTCTCTTACTTTCAGGACCCCAGCTTTGGGTCCCAATCTTCCATTTGTAGAATAAGGAGATACCCAATCCTACAATGGGAATTATTGCCCCCCCAGCAAACCTTTCCTCTTTGCAAATGTTGGCTGTGAACTTCTTTCCAGCCACAGTGGAGGAGATGGAGGACATCTACCTCCATAAATCATGACCTGACTCTGCCAAGAGTCTGAGGCTGGGAGCATAAGCCTGAACTTGTCCTTCTTGTGCTTTTTTAATTGTTTGTTTTGTGTTCTGCTGTGGCAGGAGATCGATGACTGCCTCATCCAGGCGAAAGACCGGAGCTACGACGCCCTGGTGCACTTTGGCAAGCGGGGTCTGAACGTTGCGGCCACGGCAGCTGTGATGGCAGCCTCCAAGGTAAAGCTGCAGCTCAGGGTTCACAGCAACATCCCAGGACCCACTGACACCTCCTCTGCCTCCACTGCCAGCAGCAGCCCCAGTGTGGACGGGGAGAGATGGTGGGGGTAGGGGTTGTCTCAATATTTTGTGTATTGACCTATAATTTTGCGTAGTGGCAGGAAAGAAGATGAAGTTCATGAAGGGTAAATGTTCTTCTGCAAGGCATTCACATGACATGACTGGTGTGTAGTTCTCTGCTGGGATGTTGTGCAAGAGTGAATGGGAAGTGCCATTAGCTGCTTTTGGAGGATGAGTAGTTATAGGATGAGGGGTCTCATCTGAAGGCGTGTATCCTATATTCTCTTCCTGGCTTAGAGCCAAACCCAGAAAACAGCTGTTATCTGTTGTTCCTTTTCTTGCATGAAAGCTGCAAGGACCTGATAACTGCATTTTGGGCTCCTGCCCTCTGGCCATGGGCTATCATGGCTTAGAGTTGATGTGCACAGTGTGTTTTGGGGGTGAATCAATGTGCACAGTGTGTTTTGGGGGTGAATCAATGTGCACAGTGTGTTTTGGGGGTGAATCGATGTGCACAGTGTGTTTTGGGGGTGAGTTGATGTGCACAGTGTGTTTTGGGGTGAGTCAATGTGTACAGTGTGTTTTGGGGGTGAATCAATGTGCACAGTGTGTTTTGGGGGTGAGTCAATGTGCACGGTGTGTTTTGGGGGTGAGTCAATGTGCACAGTGTGGTTTAGGGGTAAGTTGATGTGCACAGTGTGTTTTGGGGGTGAATCAATGTGCACAGTGTGTTTTGGGGGTGAGTTGATGTGCACAGTGTGTTTTGGGGTGAATCAATGTGCACAGTGTGTTGTGGGGGTGAGTTGATGTGCACAGTGTGTTTTGGGGGTGAATCAATGTGCACAGTGTGTTTTGGGGGTGAGTCAATGTGCACGGTGTGTTTTGGGGGTGAATCAATGTGCACAATGTGTTTTGGGGGTGAGATTTGGCTGCCAGGCCCGTTCCAAAAGGATAGTTGGAAACCTATGGACAAGGAGGGTACTGGTAGTAGGAACAGCATGGGAAGGGGAGTTGAAGGAAATTATTTTCCTCTGCCAAATGCTTTTCCTATGACCTAAGGCCCATCACTTTAGTGTGTCTTGGCCTTACTTCCTGCAAAAATGCAGAATGCATCCTTGGGAGGCCAAATACCATAAAGCTTCTAAAGCCTGTTGAAAGCAAGGTATTACAGAAGGGAGAGCCCAAAGGGTGTGCCATGCTCATGGGGTCATAAGGATATGCTAGACCCAAAAATTGTCTCCTTTTTGCCTGCCTAGCATTGTGCAGACTATATTGTCAGGCCTGTCTTCTCCTGAGCTGTTCTTCAGTGGGGAGACTCTTCTAACCCAGGGACTGGGAGATAAACCAAATTTGGACTGAAACCTGGGATAAACGTGGAGCTAGGACAGTGCTGTGTATCGTATGCCCAATGAAATAACATTTTTGTGATGCCTCCAGGACACTTAACACTTTTGCTGCTGCCATGTAAGCCTGAAGAGTCATAAATAGGCTCTGGGAATGCCAGTTCTGCAGCACTGCCTTTGCTCTGAGCCCCTTCCTGCGAGGTGCTGCAGGCTGCCTGTGCTAGAGCTGTTTTTAGGACACACTGAGAAACTGTGTGTGAATCCCAAAGGAATTCTGGCTCCTGCCTAGGTAGCTCCTGAACATGAGAAGCTCAACAGAAACCCAAACCCACAGTGCCAACCTGTTCCCCATCAGGGCTGCAACAGTGTCTGCATCAGCTGCTCCCTGGAATGAGCAGCCAGCGCCACGGTTTGACTTCCCCCTGCTCCACTTTCCTGCTGCTTTTCTTAAGACTCCCTCTGCCTTAAAATGTGGCTGCAGTGGCAATGGGGAAGAGAGGGAAGAGTCTCCATGGTACAAAGAAGCTGCTGTTTTTCATAGTTAATAGTCCCCTTTCAGTGGTGGAAGAAAACAACTCTGACTCCTGTGGTGTTATTGTATTGCACATCTGCCAACACAGCTTTAGAGAAAACTGTTAAGATATTGCAACCTGTGAATGGGCCAGAAGAATCTTTCTTGCACACTACTTTGGGGAGGGGAAAAGGACTTGTTAATAAGATTGAGAGGTTATTTAATAGATTGGTTGATTTTTACAACAAAGCAAGGACTATTCAAGTATTTCCTTCAGCTTTGACATTTAAATTACTCTGAATGTATGAGGAAAAAATAGGATCCCTGGTTTCCTTCACTACTTTGGCTTGTGGCCTCCAGCAGGTTGCTTGTTTCTGTGTGCCTGAGGGTGCAGCTCCTACAGAGAGTGTGAGCCAATCTGACAGCTCTCCTTCTGCAAAATGGGGGTGCTCCAGCTCCCAGGGTGTCCCAGCATTTTGAACCTCCTCAGGTTATCTCTAATCTATCAGAAAGTTAATCCTGAAAGGCAAAGAAAGGGGTTTGTTCTTTTGAGCCCACAAACTTATCTTGAGTGGCTGAGCCAGCATAAGGAAAGGGATTGAACTGCACTGTGAGAGCATGGCCAGAGAAAGGGAAGCAAGATCATCCCTTCCTGGTCTTGGGAAGCAGAGAGATTAGCTGTGCTGTCCATGGCAGCACACCCCAGTCTGTTCCCAGTGTAATATCCAGGGATGGCTAAAGCAGCTCCTGTCCCTTGTCCTTCTGAGAGGGAATGTGCCTCTGTTCTGGCAGGGAGAGCAGCCTGGTGAGAGTTCCAGCCTGGTGTGATTTACAGCCTGGTGTGGGTTACAGCCTGCTGTGAGACACAGCCTGCTGTGAGATACAGCCTGTGGGATACAGCCTGCTGTGAGACACAGCCTGCTGTGAGATACAGCCTGTGGGATACAGCCTGCTGTGACATACAGCCTGCTGTGACATACAGCCTGCTGTGAGATACAGCCTGCTGTGAGATACAGCCTGGTGTGGGTTACAGCCTGCTGTGAGATACAGCCTGGTGTGAGACACAGCCTGCTGTGAGATACAGCCTGCTGTGACATACAGCCTGGTGTGAGATACAGCCTGCTGTGAGATACAGCCTGCTGTGAGATACAGCCTGGTGTGAGATACAGCCTGCTGTGAGATACAGCCTGCTGTGAGATACAGCCTGGTGTGAGTTACAGCCTGCTGTGAGATACAGCCTGCTGTGAGATACAGCCTGCTGTGACATACAGCCTGGTGTGAGACACAGCCTGGTGTGACATACAGCCTGGTGTGACATACAGCCTGGTGTGACATACAGCCTGCTGTGAGATACAGCCTGGTGTGAGTTACAGCCTGCTGTGAGTTACAGCCTGGTGTGACATACAGCCTGGTGTGAGATACAGCCTGGTGTGATTTACAGCCTGCTGTGAGACACAGCTGCTGTGAGATACAGCCTGGTGTGGGATACAGCCTGCTGTGAGATACAGCCTGCTGTGAGATACAGCCTGGTGTGAGATACAGCCTGCTGTGAGATACAGCCTGGTGTGAGACACAGCCTGCTGTGAGATACAGCCTGGTGTGACATACAGCCTGGTGTGAGATACAGCCTGCTGTGAGACACAGCCTGGTGTGAGATACAGCCTGCTGTGACATACAGCCTGCTGTGAGATACAGCCTGGTGTGAGTTACAGCCTGCTGTGAGATACAGCCTGCTGTGAGATACAGCCTGGTGTGAGATACAGCCTGCTGTGAGATACAGCCTGGTGTGAGACACAGCCTGCTGTGACATACAGCCTGCTGTGACATACAGCCTGGTGTGAGATACAGCCTGTGGGATACAGCCTGCTGTGAGATACAGCCTGTGGGATACAGCCTGGTGTGACATACAGCCTGGTGTGAGATACAGCCTGGTGTGATTTACAGCCTGCTGTGAGATACAGCCTGCTGTGAGATACAGCCTGCTGTGAGATACAGCCTGCTGTAGGTTCCAGCCTGCTCTGGGTTCCAGCCTGGTGTGGGTTCCAGCCTGCTGTGCTGCAGTGCAGGCTGCTGGGCTGGGGCTCCTCAGGCACCCAGGATGTGCCTGGGGTGTGGATGTGTCTCTGTGTCCCTCCCTGCTGGTGGGGAGGGAGTTGTTCCCCAGAGAGGAGCGGTACAGCTGGAGCTGTTTCTCTTGCCCTGGTTTTCAGCCACTGTCAGCTCTGTGTCAATGCCCTTCCTTGCTCACTTGAGGAGGTATAACTGAGCCAGATTGTCCTGCCTGAGAGAAGTGTAAATGAGTAATTATCTGGAAAACACTTTGAGCAGACAGATGCCAGACCAGCCTGCAGTGCTGTCCTTAGGGGGAGGATTCCAGGGAAGGAGGAAAGAGAATACTATTTCTAAGGCTTTTCATGTTTTCCCAGTGCCAGGATTTAAGGGTATCCAGCTAGTCTGTGATAAGTGTTGAGTGTAGAAGGGAAAGTGAGTTCATTTGGTTTCAGCCTTTAAAGGATTGTGTTACAATTGGAACCTATATGATGATTTATTCAGTAGCACTGAGCTCCTGCAGCTTCCATGGAAAACATGGCTTTTACCAGCAAGTGAATGTGAGGATTATTTGCTGCTTCACTTGGATTAGTGGGTGAGGAAAAGATGTTTTTGTATGCAGAAATGGACCTTCAGGCTTTGCAAATCAACTTCACATGGTGGCAATGCACAGTGAGCTGCTGGGCTGCAAAGGGACTGTGTACAGATCTGTTTTCAGTAAATCAGCTGAAATCTAAAGGCTCCTGTACCTGAGAGAGAACATGTCTCATGCTGTGCCTAGCCCTGTCCTCTCCTTTCTGTCTGAGCTGTGATCCATCATGGTCTTTTGTCTTTCATGATAAGATCTTTGGGCAGGGCCCATCTTTTAATTCTTTTCATCCATCATATTTTTTTTTATCTATTCTTTTTGTCCATCATATTTTTTAATCCATCCTGTCTACCCATCATCTTTTTTACGTGCAGCACAATGCATCTGCCTCTCTGATTTCCATTGGTGTGTGACAGGCTGCTGCTTGTATATTTACTGCAGGCTAAGAAGCTGCAAGCTGTGCACAGCCACACCTTCCTTAGCTCTGATCCTCTCTCCCTTTCCCTTTTTTATCTTAAATCCCTTTGGTTCCAGTTAGCCAACTGCAGGCTTGTCCTTCCTTCCCCCTCGTCCTGCTCCTGCCCCTGCTCTGTTCTGTGTTGAAGCCACAGTTGTGCTGATGCTGGCACAAGCCTGTGCCAGCTCATTTTACAGGCTGAGGAGCTGTCAGTGTCCCAAGCACCCTGGCTCTGCCCAGCTGGCTCACTTGGGTGTTTTCTCTCTCTCTGGAGAGTCTATTTTTGATGCTCACTAGGCAAGCAGAGTGTTGGATATCTGGTTTATTGCCCCTGCTAGGTGCTCAACACAGATCCTTTCCCTGCCCCTACCAAGGAGAATAATCTCATTTGGGGCTCTAATCCTGTCCTCATCACTTGGTGATTCTGTCACATGTGGGGACTTCAAGTGGGTCAGTCCTAAGTGGCAGGATTAAACGACCAGGCAGCAAATCCTGCTGCTCTTTGTGTGTTTTCAATTAGTTCCAGCTAACTCAGCCATTTCCATCCCTGAGGCGCCCTGACCACCACCACCTTTCCAGCTCACCTTGGTGGAGAGAAAACAAGCTTGCATTTGGGCCACAGCACAGGGAGCAGCAGCAGCAGCAGGGCTGGTACAGCGAGGCCTTGGCAGGCAGTGCATCCATCAGGTGGACCCTGGGCACGAGTGAACTTTTCACTGCCCCCAGTGAGGGTTCAGTGGGAGCAGCTGGGACACACATGGCTGCAGCAGGGAGGGGCTCCAGGGGCTGGGGAGCAGCACCAGCCTTCCCCAGCACACTTGTATGCACGCCCAGCCCTTATCCTTCACCTGTCACCTGCTGCTTTGCCATGTCCCCAGCCCCAGCTCCTCTATCCCTGCCCAGCCATTGCCTCCTGTCTTCCTACAACCCACACATCATCAGTTTGACACTCTCCCCCAGCTCCCTCACTCTCTCTTTCAAGCTCCTGATTTTCCCCGATCCTGTTTGGATGTATCCTTATTCCCCACCTTGAACAAACCAACTCTGCCAAGCAGACCCACATCTTTCCCCACCTGCTCCCAACCACTTAACCGCCCCCAAGCTGCAGCCTCAACCCTGCTTTTCAAAGGAGGTTTGGAGAAAACATGCCATGCCAGCAGACCAGTGTACTGCAGAGGTTTCTGACAGTGCCTTTCCCCCTGCCTTTCCCCTGCCCTGGTGTGGGTGAGGTGGCAGAGCAGCCCATGCTGTGCCCATTGCGTGCCCGTTCTTACCCAGGGGCACAGCGTGGTGCAGGGCCTTGGCAGGAGCAGATAAATGAGGTGCAGGGAGCAGGCACACATGACTGGTGTCAGTGAAAAGCCCATTTGTGCCTAATAAGTGTGAGAAGCGGCCCAGGAGCCTGCGATGGGTGGGGAATGTGGGGATGCAGCAGTCACTGTGTGTGTCACTCACAGGAGCAGCCATGCACGCACACAGGGAGGCTCAGGGTGTGCATCCACCTGCTCAAATAATGCCCTGCAGTGCAGCCCCAGCAGCTCCCAAACCTCCTGTCTGGGCTGCCATTTCCATTCTGTTCATTTCTGTTTCCACCCTTGGGCTCACCTTCCCCTGGAGGGTTATAGCTTCATTACCTCAAAACCCTTTAGACCAATAAATTAATAAGGAAGTGTTTCAGTGCATTTGCTGTTTTTTAAACCAGGACACTGGGAGGGAAATGCTGGTGATGATTTAGGCTTTATCCTCTTTAGACAAACAGCATCTTTTAAGTAATTTCTAGTATCCAGCTGGTGTAGCCATTGCAATTACCCAAAAATCAATATTTAGATCCCTAATTTACTGTGTGATTTTAGACCTATTTGCTGTGGAAACTGGGAGGAAAATCCTTGTGTGGGAGAGACACGCTGCCTTTTGTGACAGAACAGTGGAGAGGTGCACTTCTACTTGAACTGGGAGAGGAGGGGCAGGGGTGGGGAGCATCCTTTCCCTTGAGATGCTTGATAAAACCTCTTTGTAATGATTAGATGCCAGTGCTCAGAGGGAGAGTGCTCCTTTGCTGAGCAAACACATGGGAGCACAGTTCTGACCCATCTGTGGTGGCCACATCATCTGTGTGCTCTCATCAGTGCCATGGCCTGGAGCTGCAGAGGTCACAGAGATTCAGAGTTCACACTCGGAGAAGCCTTGGGGACACTTTGCTGTTATCTCAGAGGGGCTGAGCTTGTTGCTTTTGACAGTGGCTTGTTTTAAAGGATCTTCATTTGGGATCCAAAATCAAAGATCTTGGAGCTGTTTTACACCAATAAAGAGGAATAACAAATGGATTTCTTAAAATATATGGTAGCCACTGATCACAGTACTTTGTGAAGTATTCCTGTCATGTGTGATGCATCTTTTATTCAGAAGTCCTTAAGAATCTGTTTTTCACAAATCTGTAGGATTCCAATGCTGTTTGAGTTACAATCCAGGTAACTCTTTCTAGTTTCCCTTTCATGGCTGCTTGGTTGGTGTCTCCAACAAGCAAACAACACTCACTGAATGCACAGGACAGCAGAACCAAAAGATAAATTCATACAAAGAGACTAGTGTGGGAGAAACAATAACAAAGAGTTCCCTGGAGAGGAAATGAACTGCACAAACAAAAAGGGTGGATGAAATTACATTTCCACCATCAACATTAACGTCAGCTGGTTTCCCATTGAGTCTCTATTACTGTCTGACATTTCCAAACAGGTAGCTCTTCCAGACTAGGCATGGCACGCAGGCCCTGGCCATAAATAAGGATATTGCTTGTAGGATGTTCGTGTTCAAATGGTGGCAGATGCAATTTTCTCCTTCACTCCTGCCTGTGCTCAGCCCATAAAGCTGCTGGTTCTGCTCAGGGCCTGCCTGCAGCCAGATATGAGGAAACTTCTGTGTGAAACCCCTGCTCAGTGGGCAATTCCCCTCTGTCACCCTGCTGCTCAGGAGAACTGTCACTCACTGAAATGACTGCCACGTGTCCCTCTCATAATCCTGCGCCTGAATTAGTCATTAGGCCTGACACTGGGGATTTCTCCAGTGGGAAGCATCAATCAAGTGCAAGGAGTGGAGTAGCAGCCCATTGTGTTTATAATTTGCTTTAGGAGTGGAGTAGCAGCCCATTGTGTTTATAATTTGCTTTACTCTTTAAAAACACAGTTAGGTGACACCTTGTCAGCTGGGGTTATGGAGTGGTCTCTCCATATCTCTCTGGGGAAGCTGAGGAAGGGAGGATCTGTGTTCAGAGGTGTAGTCCCCAGGTGGGTGTCCCTGCTTTTTATGTGTGAGTGCCTGCATATGGTGCCCAGTGTCTTGCTCATGTCTCACCTCGATTACTTGTGCTTCAAATAGATCTTATTCTCAAAGCCTTGATGTGTGTTGCCACAATGGCTCTCTTTTTTCCCTTTGCTAGGTCTCTCAGCTACTCCATTTACACTTGTATTGGGACCAGAAAAAAGGGCAGGTAATCTGCTGAGTGCTTTTACTAACCCCTAACTAATGTCTGCTCCCTGTTAGACTAGTTGTTAGACTAGTTGTTAGACTAGTTTGGACTGGTTTCAGCTGAGACTGCTCTGAGGCCAAGCGCTGTCTGCTCTGCTTCCAGTGGGGAGATGCTGCGTGCTGAGCTTTAAAAGCTTTAAAAAACATCAATTTGCTTGATCTCATCAGCAAATTGCCTTGCAAGTGCTCTGCTGGCAGTGGAGGAGGTTCCAGCTCCAGGCAGGGAGCTCTTCCATGGAACACTCGTTTACCGGGGCTGGTTGCTGTGTGTGCTGCTGCGCTCCCACCAATGGGTGGAGGGAGCCTCTCTCCCTGTGCTGGGGCCCTGTGGGCATGGTTGGGGTCGCAGTGGAGCTTTTGGAGGATCTCTGGCAGGTTTGGTTGGGGCAGTCCTGCTGACACCACAGCCCCGGCTGGGGAATGTGCTCTACACCTTGTGTGGGCAGGATGGAGGCTGCAACCTGCATGCAGACATGTGTGGGGGAGAACTGCTAACCACAGTCACAGCAAAGGGAGAGGAGAACATTAACAGATTGAGGAGTGTGCTGGCAGTGTGCTCAGTGTGACTTAGTGCTCCCTTGCTCTCCATTAACTGCTGATCCTAAGAGACAAAAGGCCAGGAGGTGCCATCCTGCATTAACACCGAGTGCATTAAAAGCTTCTCTTTTGTGACTTGGCAGTTTTGGGTTCCTGATTTGTCATGCTGTGTCATAGTTTCCACAGCTGCAAAATGGAATTTGTAGGTATTAGAGGTGTTTTGAAACTTAAATAATGTTTACAGAATTCTTTCGTATTTTCAGACTGAAGGAATAATGATAAAATCTAGACACTGTTATTTGTTTGTATTTAGATCATATTCAATGGGACTGTTATATAAATTTCAGATTTTTAATTATGTGCCTAGTTTTATGTGCTTTAGCTTTAGCTACCTACATACATGAATTATTTATAATGAATCATTCCATTGAATGTAAACCCAGTTTTTCCCAGACTCCTAAATGCATTTTCCTCTAAAAAGTTCAAATGGGAATGCAGAGACTGATTAAAAAATGGTAAAAAAATTTAGGACAGTTCCAGCTCTTTCTGATGGAGTGCCTTTTACAGTGCTCGTCACAATGCAGATGTCAGCTTTTGGAAAGTGTTTCTGATCCTTCCAGGCAAATACTGGTTGCATCAGTGTTTGTGCTCTGGGCCCAGAGCGGCTGATGTTTGTTTTTGGAGATGATGATGGTGATGTCTGCAACATGAAGAGGAAGGCAGAGTGCAGGTTGCTGGCTCTGGAAGCTCAGTGTTTTAATACTGTTTTGTCATAATCTTTAAAGCAAAAAGGAGAGAATGTGCTAGATGTGGGTGAGATAACAATGTCTATACTACTGTCGTTTTGACTAAATTTAATTCAATGCTTAAATTAGTTTTAGATTAATTACTTTGCCATGTGGATGGGAGCTTTAATTTCACTTAGAATCACAAATGAGCTTGTCTCGGTGGCCAATGCCCTCAGACTGTTGGTGCAGTCCTGAATCTAAATAAGGTTGATATCAAGTGATAGCAGTGACTGGGCAGGGAAGTTACCATGGCCTTTTAGTATTTGTCTTTTATCCTATTCAGTAGCACTGAGCCCTGGCTCAGAGAACTTGTGGGGGCGGTAGATCCTGGGGAAAGGAAGCCTGAAGAGCTCCACTTTCAGTGTGTGCTGTACCTTCACCCATGGGCAGGATCAGATGAATTTGGGGACAGATGCGCTGCAGTGATCAGGGAACAGAGAGACACCTCTGTTCCCACCTCTGGCCCCCAAAACCTCACTGTCTCTAAAATGAGAAGTGCCATGCCCACAGGGGTGGTCCACGGCTGAAGAGAAGCTGGATGAGAAGTTCAGTCCAGGCAGGGAGTTCTGTGCCCAGGGAAGTTAAGGCTCATTTTTCCATCACCATTTCGTGCTTGTGTCCTCTAAAGTCCCAAAAACGCAGGTCCCACCCTGCCAGCACCATCATCGTGGCAATTGTTGGTGCTCAGTGAGGAGGAGAGAGACGTGGTGTCATCCTTAGTCCCTCCCAACCACAATTATCAGGAAGGTTTGTAATAACACGGAGCTGTTTCTCTGCTGACAGAAATGGTGTAACCACAGCTCCTGTCATGGTGTGACCGCTGTCACACTCTCTAGGGTAAAACTAGCCCAGATCTGTGGGGATGTGCAGCACAGGCAGAGCTTCAGGAGCTGGATCCTCTCTCCTTGCTGAAATTCCTGGGATATCTCCCATGTCTGTAGCAGTTGGAAGAGCATCTGCATGATCATGGCCACAACAGCAAACAAAAATCCCCCAAACAGCTGCTCTTCATCTTCCACATAATTGTTTTAACAAAACACAGCCCAAAACACGTGCTGTGCTAAATTTATTCTGTCGAGAAATAGAGGTATTAACTTGTTATTTTCTTTTGTTAATAAAAGATAAATATTTTTGTGGAACAATAAACATTACGTCTGGATAAAGTCTTTATTTCTAAAACACAGCTCTGCAAGCCCTCCCCATGCTGGCTTTTCAAATGTTTGTGATTTCATATACACCAGCTGCTTATGTGGCAGGGAAATAAAAGTTGGTAAACAATATTTTCCATTTCACTCTGAAACCACCCCCATTCTGTGGTAATTTTTGTCACATTTCTATTTTGGTGTCAAGTAAAATTGTGGTAATTGGGAAAGAATTGTGAGTGTTACACTGTATTCTAGGAGCAGGTAAATAAGATCTATCCCTACAAAGGGCAAAGAAAGGAAATGGAACTCTGCAGGTTTTCACAGGTGTTCAGTGCCTTCACTCAGCCCAGGCCTTTGCTGTTCTTGCCATTCTGATATTTGGAAAAATTGCTTCATAGAATGGTAGGAACAGTAACAGTAATATTTTGCTATTACCTGTTTTATAAACCATCTTTATTTTTGCTGTTAGAAACTCAGGTTAAATTAAATAAAAAATTAAGAAAAGGCAATTTTAGTTCTTTTTTTCTTGGAGAAAGTCAGAGTTGTTTAGTTCAGCTGCTTCAGTCTGTGCTCAAGGCTCTGTATTCCACACTGATATAACAGACCCATAGGTGACAGGCACATTTCAGGTCCCTGTTCCAAAGCTCTCCTGGGCCCTTTGATCGTTCCATGCTGCTCTATCACAAGGTGCACTGCAAGAATATTAACACATCTCAATTTTCAATGTGTTTGTGCCATCTCCCCTGCCAGCTTGGTCTGACACACAGATCTCATCTCTAACCTGCCTCATGTCCACACACATGAATTGCTGGCTGGAATGGGATGGAATTTGGGTTAGCTGGCTGAGCAGAGCAGCGGGGGGAGCTGAACAGCCTGAGCCCTGCTGACACTCGAGCTGGGTGAGAGGGAGGAACACAGCACTCAAATTACTGACCCTCTGTTGCTAACCCTCTGGCTTTGCTGTCATTCTGCAACAGCAAAATGTTATTTAATGGTCAGCTTGCTCTCACTGGAGATCTGCCTGCTGTAATCAGGCTGCAGGGCAGGATATCTTGTGCTGGCTCTGAATCAGTCACTGAGAATTTGGTGTCAGTGCAGGTTCCAAAACCCCTCCAGAGCTGCACTGAGCTCTGGGCAGCTGAGGTCTCACCCAGCTGAGCAGCCATGCAAGGCAGCTCCAGTCACCAGCCCAGAAACATTTGCAGAGTAAATGTAGCTTAAAAAAAAGAGGATTAACTGGAGATGCCTCTTGGAGTGAGAACATACCCCAAGAGTGGCTCAGCCACTGGCGGGAGTAGCCAAAATTCAGGCACCAACTCTTGGGCCAGGCTGGAGAATGAGAGGGCAGAGGTGGGAGTTTAGCAAAATATAAATTCTAAGGACTCCACTGCCATCAGCAACATGATATGTCTTGGTATTTAAGCAAAGAAGCCCCATCAGTTTAATTTAAAATGCTTTCAAAAGCAGAATAGGCTGGTGGGAAAGAGCAAAGTAAGTCTGCTGCTTCTCTCTAACAGTCTGCAGGAAAGCTAAATGTGGAGTTGAGAAGGAAGTTTGAACTCATTTTTCTTGTACAAAAAGCTTCAGACTGAAAGGCTGGAGATTAGTGATCTGTCACTTTTGTTGGATGTAAAAGTGCAGACTGTCACAGTGACTGCAGGTATCAGCACCTGATGCCCTCTACTTACACACCCTAAAAGTAAAGTGCTGAGGAATTTGCATGAGGTAGAGGCACGATTTTCCTCTACTGTGCATGCAGAATTTCTGAAGTGGTGTTGATAAATCAGCAGGTGAATTATTGCTTTGCCTTCCCTGTGGGTCAATGCTTAGGGGACAGGCAGCGCTGCCCAAGAGCTTTAGCAGGAACGTGTCCAGTCCTGCTTTGGTTGTGGATGGTCAGGATGAGTCCTGAGCCTTTCTCTGTGCCAGAGCAGCTCCGGGGTGAGCTCCCCATGGCCCTGCCTGCACCCAGGTCAGGATGGCAGAGCTGCAGCCCAGAGGGAGCCGTGCTGGGCTCTGTCCTGGGCAGGGGTCAGGCTGTGCTGCTTGGACAAACACAAGTCTAGGTTAAAGCGGTGGGTCAATTGATACAGGCTGCCTTATCCTTTTGTTAAACAGGACAGTATTTACTGTCTCTTATTTGCCTTCTTTCTGATTTCATCTCAGTCAATCAATCAGTTGAATGTTTCCTAATTTACAGTTGCAGAAATAATGTTGGAATCAGGCTCTCTGTGTTTACTTGAGTACTTTTCAGGACTATGTGCCATTTCAGATCCTCCCCCCTCAGTAAAATATTAAAGCATACATGTAATTTTTATCAGTTATACAATTTATACTCTGAATGTCATTTAACGTAGCTCAAAAATTCTATGATTCTGTATGGATTGAATTTTCTGGTGTTCCTTCTTTATGGCTGTAGTATAAGGGTTACAGAATACTTACAGTCAACTTGCAGTTTTAATGGAAAGTGTCACCTAACCAGCCCCATCCTTTACAGTTACATTCCTTTCACCAAGGAATATATTTGTTGTCACATTGAGAATTAAGGTAAAAAGAAAGGAAATATTGCATGACTTCATTTCTTCATTAAGCTGCAAGAAAAAAGCATTGTTATTTTTCTTGGGATTTAACAATATTTTTAAATTACTTTAAAATTTCAAATTTTCTGTGTTCTGGAAATTTTGTGTGTTGCTGAGAGTGGTGGGGTGAATACCATTATAGATGGTTAACTTTAAAAGGGAGTTATTTTGATGCAGGCCATTTAGTTGTGATTCTGGAGCCAAGCATCTGTTTGACTCATTCCTGACTCATTGAAGGAAAGTACCTACTGGAAATATAAAGCAACACCCTGCTCCTTTACACATGGCTGTCACTGTCACATTTTCTGAAAAATCCCTTCGCCATGATTTCTCCTGGGAAGCTGAGAAGCCTCAGAGAAAAATCAAAACAATAACTATCTGATTGCTTCTCCTGTTTTGCTGCTTTGGAATGTGTTTGGAGATTGTTTATCCAACTGGTCATTGTTTGATTGGTTTCATGTTAATTGTTTTAACTTAATGGCCAGTCACGGTCAGGCTGTGTCAGGACTCTGGAAGGAGTCACAAGTTTTTCATTATCATTCTTGTTAAGACTTCTGTGTCTGTATCCTTTCTCTATTCTTTAGTATAGTCTTAGTATAGCACTCTATAATAAAATATGATAGAATAGAATAGAATAGAATAGAATAGAATAGAATAGAATAGAATAGAATAGAATAGAATAATCAGCCTTCTAAGAACATGGAGTCAGATTCACTCATCTCTCCCCTGCAAATTGAACACATGGCCAAGGCTGCTCTGTGCTCCCATCACTGCAATGAAGAATCAGAGATGTTTGCCACAGAACATTCCAAAAGGAAGAGCCAAGAGAGGGAATGATGCTTTCAGCAACACATTTTGGTCATCTCTAGTTTATCGGACCACACCATTTTTCTCTCTTCCTATTGTCCTGATGGATTGCAATGAGCAAGAGCGAAAAAGTCTCAAAATGTTGGGTCTGACTTTGTGTTGTTGACCTGCCTGTTTCCCCAGGGACAGGGAGCCCTGTCTGAGAGGCTGCGGAGCTTCAGCATGCAGGACCTGTCGAGCATCCGCGGGGACAGCGGCAGCGCCGTCCCTGCCTCGGTCACTGTGCGGACAGGCAGCAAGCAGAGCCACCCCAAACCAGCCAGGAGCGCATCAGAGGGCACTGGCAGCTCAGGTGAGTGCCAGGGTTATTTTCAGTGCTGGAATATCAGGCTGCTCGGTGAAGTCATGCCCATGGCAGGGACAGAGGGAAGCGCACACTGCAGGCAGCGCATACCAGAGTTCCCGGGACACAGACATGCTCTGGGCTCTCTTGGCACTCAGGAGGAAAAAACAGGATCATCATTTGATGGTTACTATTCCTGGCTGGTGCTGAGGATGAGACTTGAGTGTGCAGAGAAGCCAGACTCGGTCTTTGCAACCTGAGCTGGAAAGTTGGGCTGGGGGCTGCTGAAAAAACTGTGTCTGGTTTGTTTTCTAATTCTGGAAGAACAAAGGGAAGAAATACCATGCTGTAAATAAGATCCATTCCTGAGGATTCAGTTTAAAAAGATATTTTAAGGACAATAGTTTGTTTTCTAATTCTGAAAAAACGGGAAGAAATATGCTGTAAATAAGATCCATTCTTGAGGATTCCGTTTAAAAAATTATCTCAAGCTCAAAGAAATCTTTTTGAGTCCAAATCCAAAGCATTTAATTGGAGGTAGCTTTGCAGATTAGATCTCAAAAAGCGAGACATGGAGGGTTTTCCCAGGGAGGTGGCTCCAGATGGTTCCTGGGGCTCCCACACACCACCCAGGATCACTCAGCTCCAGGGCTGTGGTGAGAGGCCATGGAAAGTTGCAGGAGTGTTGCACGTGGTAGTTGTGAAACATTTGCTGGCAAGTCAGAAATTCAGCAGTCTCAGCTTGTGTGTGCTGGGGTCTGTGCAAACACTTGCACTGTTTCAAGCCTGGGTAGCTGCTGCCCCTTGTAATTTGCTTTAGTTTTGGAATGGTATTAGAAATGTCTTGTCTGATCCTTCCTAAAAAGCATCCTTCAAGCCTCTTACAAATTTTGTGAATCAGACTTCTCCTCTTTTTTTTTAATGTTATCTGTTGAATAGATTTTCTTTATGGGTAAACTGAAACATTGGTGCGCAGTGGTTTTGTTCTCATCTTTCTATAAGGCCTTGTGTACACTTCTCTTGACATAATCAGTCTGAAAATAAAGTGTTCACACACAGAATATAAAAGTCTTTAAAAAGTCACATATGTAGACAAAAATAAATAATGACACAAATAAACCATAATTTAGTTATCTTGGTTCCCCATTGAGTAGAGCAGCCTTTGTAGTTTTACTCTTGAGACAGTGAAGTCAGCTCACTGGGCCACAAACCCCTGTCTCAAGACACAAGAGTTTTTTATTTTGGTCTGGTTTTTTGTCCATAGTGCGCAAGGATCTCTCAGAATGAATCTCTGAAACATTGTTCATAAATGTTTTGAACTCAGACTAAGAGTTTATCACAAATTTTGGATATTGAAAGTAATATCCAAGTAATATGCAAGTAGTATGGAAGTGATATACAAGTAATTTGAGATTTTGAGCTTAATTTTTTTTTTAAATGGAAACTGCACAAATTTGCAAAATCTTCCAAGACCTCTATCTGTCCCATCTCACTTGGTGATTTCATTGAGGTGCCTCATTCTCCACCTGCAGGGAATACAAACAGCCTCCCCTTGCAGGTGGTGGGAGACTCCAGCTGCAAGCTTTGCTCTCACTTTTGATCACAGGAAGGGAAAGATCCAGCTCTGGTCTCTGCAGTCCTTGGGCTGTTTTATGTGGGCACCATTCTGTGTGCAGCCAGAATGTCTGGAGGGGAGAGCTGATCAGAGCCAGCTGTCCTGTGTGTGTGTGTGAGGCTGTGATGTGCCAACCACACTGTGCCACGTCCTCAGGGCCATGTTCTGCTGAGATGACACTGCTCTGGGCAGTTCCATCACCCCACCTTTCATATTTGGTTAGTTGGAGAGCTGGACATCAGCAAGGGACAGACAGAATTTGCCCCTGCCCATTATTGTGCTTTATATACATGGAATGTGTGCGTGTGGGAGAATGGGCATGAGCAGCCACTGCAGAGCAGCAGGCACACAGCCCTGTCTCCTGTCTCAAAGCCCTCAGGTGGCATCAATGTCCCTGCCAGATGTCCCCAGTGCCTCACAGAAACACTGAACTCCTCTGGTGTTTTACCTGCTTTAGAAATAGCAGGACATAGTCAAAGTGACATCAGATGGAGTCATCAAAAATGACCCAGACAGTGTTTGGCATGAGGGTGTTCATTTTAAACAGACAATTTTTCTTGTGAATTACAGAACCTGCTTTGTACTTCTATTTTCCTGATGCTCTATCACCTCTTACATCAGCAGCCTCTCACCCAAAGAAGACTTTAAGTAGATATTTTTGTTTTGATTTTTTTCTGCTTTTTGGAGGTATTTCCCTCTCTTTTTTCCTTCCACCCTAGTCCCACTGCAAATCCACAAATTATATTAGCAACATTAAGAAAAGAACCAACAACAAAGGAAACATCTTACCCTTTTCTTCTGTAAATGCTTCATTTCTGGTGTTCTAAGAGAAGCCTTAAAATAGGAGGATAATGATTCCCAAAACAAACCCTAAAGTTTTATATAATTCAAAGCAGGCTTATGTTGATTGTCCTTGACTGCTGCCAGCTAGAATTGTGCCTGCTCCTTGATCTCTTGTGACCACACTAGTTAAGGGGATTAACTGAGGGCTGGACTTTAGGGTTATGCTCACAGAGAAAAACACAGAGCCAGGTTCTCACCTGGTGTGGTTTCTCTGACTGACAGCACAGCAGAGCTCAGTTTCTGAGGGGTAACAGCCTTGCTATTATAGAATTTTAGATTAAGCCCTCAGGAAAGAAACACACACCCAAAGCACCATCCCTTTTTGATGAGAGCTCTGAAGCTCACGTGGTTACAATTAAGGTATAGCTAGAACAGTGATGTCTGAACCCAAAAATGCATGTTAATTCAATTAGCCAATGAAAGCTAAGCCCTGCCATCACACAGGGCCTGGCACGGGGTGCTGAGAGCTGAGAGGGCTCTTTGGGATGAGCTCAGGATGTTTCTGTGGCTCCCATGCCCTGAGCTGGGACACACAGCCAGACCTGGGCTGGAACCTGGTGTTGCTGGGTCCAACCCTCCTGTGTGACTGTTGTGTTTAAGAGCAGATGTGACGTCTGAAATAAAGGGTTTTGGAAAGACAAGGGGATAGGGAGAGGTCTGTTGTCTTTCCTGCACAGAAGAGAGTGCTAAAATTCAGTTTTGCTGGTGTTAAACCCCCCAGCCCCCTGTGAGCACCAGCAGTGGTTCAGGTTCTGGTTTCACAACCCTTGGCCATGATTCCAAGGCCACTGAAGCAGGAGAAAAGGCTCTCCTGACACCAGTGGGCTGTGGCCAAAGCTGGCTGCAGGACCAGGCTGCACAAACACTCAGCCTGTTTTGTTTCCACTGTTGTTATTTTTGCAATTGAATGGAGCTGCTTAGATGGATTTGTGATTCTTTGAATCCTCTCTTGACACAAAGTACTGCGTGAAGAGTTTGCCATTTTGTAACAGCCTCATGCAGATACAGCAAAGGATTTTTTTTTTTCTTTTTTTTTTTGCCTGCTGAGGAGCTTCTTAGGAGGCCAAGAAACAAAATAAGCAGGAGCTGCTTTGAGACAGCTTTACCTTTTTCTGCCTTTGCTGCCTTTCAGTCAATTGTGCAGCTGTGCTGTGAGCATGGTCCTTCTGCAGGAGTGGGACAGCTCTGCACACAGTGGGCTCATCCCAAACAGACCCTGCTCCTCCTCCTCACACCCAGATGGCATGGAGAGGCCCTCTGCTTTTGCCATGATTTGACTGGGGCTGCTGGCCCCACAAACAGCTCCAGGCAAACGTGCCCACCTTCCTTAGATGGGCACCAAGGGCACACAGGGAGCCCCTTCTTCCACACAGCAGGCCCACCCGCTCTGCATCTGACGTTTCACTTCACTCTTGGCTCAGCATTTCTCAGTTTATTGTCCTGGCACCCAGATGATGGACTGTGACATTTTACTCAGTGCCTGCTCCAACCTGTGCCCTTTCACAGGCAGAGCTGCCTCTTTCCTTTGGGAGCTGTAAATGTCATGTGGCTGTGCATTGTTGTGGAAAACTGTACATTCCAGAAGATTATTTCCAAATATTTTTCAAGGGAATCCTGTTGTTCTGGCAAATGTCCAGTAACAATTCACATACAGACTTGTCTGTATTAACAGGAGCTTTTGCACTTGTTAACCTTTTAGCATTACCTTAATTTGTGTTGCATCAGAGGACAGTCAGTGTGCAGAGCTGATGCTGCCTGGGGCAGAGGATCACAAACAATGCAGCCACCCTCTGTATTGCCCAAACCCAGAATTCTTTCTGCTTAAGCTTGTCCCAAGCTAAGATCATTCTTATCTGGAATGATTTCAAAGCAGGAATGGACAGTGTGCTTTCTGATACTCTCCATTCCTCTGAGCAGGGGAGAATCAAAGCTGGTTGTGCTGAAGGACCAAAAGCTTTGCAGTACAGAACAAAGGTGGGGGAACATCAGCAGTCAGGATGTGTTTGGGTATTCAGTCCCCATCAACTAAAAAGATGTGTGAGAACAACCCAGATATATGTTGTCTGAATTCACAGAGAATAAACTGTCATAAAACTGTCATAAAACTGTCATAAAACTGTGATCAGCTTCCCTCTGTGTGAGATCAGAGGCTGAGCCACAGCAGATCTCTTGAGGAAGGCCATAGTTTCACAGCAGCATCCAGCCAATGTGAGGCAGCACTCCCACTGAAAGCTGTAACCCAGCTGCTTGCCTCTGGCCCATCTCTCTTTTCCTTTGGATACATTTAAATCCCATTTTTACAGGCTGACCCCATCAAGGAATTGGTTCAGTTAAATGCTGTTCCTTGCTTCCAGGTTGCTCTTGGTGTGGGTCAGCTCCTCAAGCCAGTGGAGAGCAGCAGCACAGACAGCAGCAATGGGATGAGGAGGTGGAGGCAGAGTGCAAGGGGCACTGAGACATCTGCTCTCAGTGGTGCTGCTTTAAAATGACTGTGAAACTGCAGAAGAACTTCCAGTGTCTCCAGTGCAGGATGATAATAACTAAAAAAAATCACACAGAGCTCAAAGCCTTTTCTTCTTTAATGTGGAGTCATTGATGCCACTGTGAGCATTAAATTGAAAGGCTCAAACTGGAAATTTAGGCTGTTTCCTGGGACATAAACTGTGCTCAAGATGAAGCTGTAACCTTCACACATGTTCATGAACAGTTGTGAATCACCTGCCTTCACTGAGGGGTGCACTGCAATCCCCTTGGCTGCTTTCATTCTCATGGCAATTCCATCAGGATATTAATCCCTGTAGGACTCTCCTGGTTTAGGAAGTTCAGGGATGTGTGGGTAGATTTCTTTAGAGGCTGTGTGAGTGCTTGCAACAACCTTCTTGTAGATTCCAGAATTCTTGTAGACTTCTAGAATTCTACTCTGTAGACTTCTGCAAGAATTCTAGAATCCACAAGAATTCTTGTAGACTTCTAGAATTCTACTCTGTAGATTTCTGCAAGAATTCTAGAATCCACAAGAATTCTTGTAGACTTCTAGAATTCTACTCTGTAGACTTCTACAAGAATTCTAGAATCCACAAGAATTCTTGTAGACTTCTAGAATTCTACTCTGTAGATTTCTGCAAGAATTCTAGAATCCACAAGAATTCTTGTAGACTTCTAGAATTCTACTCTGTAGACTTCTGCAAGAATTCTAGAATCTACAAGAATTCTTGTAGACTTCTAGAATACACTCTGTAGACTTCTGCAAGAATTCTAGAATCTACAAGAAGGCTGCTGCAACCACTCACACAGCCTCTAAAGAAATCTACCCACACATCCCTGAACTTCCTAAACTCTAAACCTGCTGGAAGAGTCCAGGCACACAGCCTTACAAACCCCAGGGTTGCACCCTGTGTTTGTTACCATAGAGCCTTGTGCACTGGGTTGTGCATCCATGCTCCCATGGCTTGTCCACGCTCCCAGGTGCCTCCAGACAGGAGTTCCCTCTGCTCAGTGATGTGAGAACAGCACCAGGGAGCTGAACCCAACCCCATCCTCAGCACCCGCATGGACACAGCCTGGGCTGGGGCACGTTCCTGAGTCTGTGCTCCGTGCTGTCACCTCCCTGTGCCCACCAGGGCCTTGAAGTGCCCTTCAGGGTGGTGCCAGGTGCTTTCTAAGAGTGAGAGGCTTCACAAGGGGTCCCTAACTCTCAGCTCCTCTTGCAGTGTGCACGTGTTGCTCGGTGTGCCGGCTCCTCCGAGGTGAGTGCTGCATCTCCTGGTGTCCACGCGTCCCTGTTGGGCATGGCTGCATCCCCCAGCCTGGCTTGCTCCTGATGCTCTTGTTTCCTAACGCCAGGGAGGCAGAGCCAGGCTGTGAGCGGGTTTGGGAGCTCTGTGTGTGTGTGCTCATGGCAACAATCTCAGTGCTTCTCAGCGTACTGACCTGTGCTACCCACGGATGGGGATTGTTCCTCTGCAGAAAAACTTCATTCCTTTCTCTTCTAGAGGATGGGCCGTGTCCTTGCTGGGCAGTGTCACTCCTCTGCCCCCCAGTGCTGGTGTAAATCCACTGGGAATGCAGCAAGAGCAAAACCTCCCCAGCCCCAGCCCTGTTTTGCTGTGTTCCCTAAGGATTGGCACATCTTTCTCCATTGCTGGAGAGGACATTTGTGTTTAGGGTGAGCAGGGTGTGTAGCAAATCCCAGCAGCAGACCCTGGTAAGACAAAATAGGCTTGAACTGGCTGTCCCTGATTCAGTCTCTGGCAGAAGCACTTTTGAAAAATGTCCCCAGTGTCCCCAGCATTTATTGTGTTTACAAACGTGGAGAGCAGTGAATGGTTTAGCTGCTGGTGGTCTTTTCAGTGCTGTGCCACTTAGCTGGGTTGCTAAGAGCCCAGACATGTCACTTCTGCATTTTTTCCCCAGTGGCAGATGAAAGGAGTGGGAGAACTCCAATTTGGGCATGCCAGAGGATGGGACTGCCAAGCAGCCTGTCTGGGGAGAAAAAAAGAAATGCAGACTGGCAGTGTCTCATGTTGGTGGAAGCAAAAAAAACCTTTGTAGCTCCTTTTCTTCTCATCTCATGTGCTTTTTGTGTATTTTGCACACTAATCAAGCTGGAGACAGCAGCAGAAGGACCAAAGGATCACAGTGCTGCAGCCTGTGCCTTGCCAAGCCCTGTGCAGTGCTGGGGCTCAGAGCCTGATGGTTCCAGCCTGGCACAGCCTCCTTGCACCCTGCCTGGGTGGCAAACCCTCCCTCATATTTGATTTGTTACCCCTCCTTTTCTGGGTGTGTGCCATTGTGCAGGACAAGGAAAGATGTTTAGGTGGTATCTGTTGAAACAACACTTGTATTCACAGGGCATTTTATTAGAACTCTTCTAATTTTAGCCTAAACCTATTTTATGGATTTGACTTCAAAGTGTTATTTATAAAAAGAATCACTGAATCCTTATGGGCTTAAAAGTCATGAGGTAATCTTAGGAAAGTCTTTTAATGATGCTAAAGCAGCAACCAGTCCAATGTGTTTATTAATTGGACCCAAAGTAATTTGGATCTTGTTGAAATTGCATCCCCTGTCTTTCACACTGGCTTGTTTTACTGTTCCTGCCCCCTCTCCAGCAGAATCCACTCCCTCAGACCATGTCAATAGGGATGTGCCAAGGCTCTGTGTCATAGAGGGCTCATTCTGTCTCCACAGGCTGCCCTTTCTCTGCCTCCAAGGCAATAGATGCATTAATGCACTCTCAGACAGTGGCCTGCCATTAAAACGCTCCTTTGTGAGTGCATCTTTGGTAGCTTTGGAGAGCTGACTGCGTCATGAGAACATTTTTCAGTGCCACAAAAAGCTGGGGGAGGAAAGAATCTAATTTTGTTTAGCTAGGGCTAAGTTGCCTTGAGCTCTTGGCACTCATCCTCTCTTGGTGCAAACTTTAGTGCAGCCAATTTCAGAGTCCCATCATTAACAGCTCTATTTCCAAAGAGTTTATCATCTAAATGGGCAGATAGTCAAGTCTTTCCTCAAGCAGGGATATTGAAAGCTGCTTTAGAGCCTTGGTGCAGCCTTTTTCGCCAGGAGCAGTTGCATTAATGCTCTTGCAGGTAAAACTCTATTATTGTAAATAGGTAAAACTCTATTATTTCACTCTTGTGGTGAAACCTGTAGGTAAAACTCTATTATTGTAAATAGGTAAAACTCTATTATTTCACTCTTGTGGTGAAACCTGTAGGTAAAACTCTATTATTTCACTCTCTGACTCACAGAAACCTCCTCAGCTCTTAGGAGAGCACAGGCTGGTGGAGCACAAGTTCAGGCATTCTGCTCCCTAGATGATACCCAGGAGGATGACTCCTTGCAGGTGCCATGGGGTGTGCATTTCTGCAGAGCCTGAGGCACAGCCTGAGCCCCCTGGGCTGGAGCTGTCCCTGTCAATGATGCTGGGCTGGCTGCTGGTGGGTTCCTCTGCTCTGGAGCAGGACTGTCCCTCTCAGCAGTGGTGCTGGGCTGGGCGCTGTCACAGACATATATTTAATGAAAAATCCTTTCCTCAGGATTTTTTCTCCTGAGAAGCTGAGGGGCCTCAGGAGCAAAGTGTAAACAATGGTTATCTGCTGCTGTGTATGCAACAAGTGGATCTTTGATTGGTCTCATGTGGTTGTTTCTAATTAATGGCCAATCACAGTCCAGCTGTCTCAGACTCTCTGGTCGGTCACAAAATTTTGTTATCATTCCATTCTATTCCTTGCTGGCCTTCTGATGAAATCCCTTCTTCTATTCTTTTAGTATAGTTTTAATATATCATTTTCTTTTAATATAATATATATCATAAAATAATAAATCAGCCTTCTGAAACACGGAGTCAAGATTCTCATCTCTCCCCTCGTCCTGGGCCCCCTGTGACCACCACCCCAGGGAGCTGATGGGCTCTGCAGGTCTGTCCCTGTCAGCACTGATGGGATTCTCTGTGCTGAAGCTGTTGGCTGCACAGCAGAGCCCATTTGGATCACTCCCAGTGGCCTCACAGGCTGCACATGGCAAAGCATTGATGCAATTCAGGACCTTCATCCTCCCCTGCTCTGGGCAGCCTCACTGAACCACAAGCCTGTGTGACAGATGTACTCCAGCTCATCTCTTTGACAGCTCCTGGGCCAGCTCCTCTTGCTTTTGTTCCTGGCCAGGCCTTTGCTGGTGGAACTCCCTCCAGGTTTAAACCCAAGTTTCTGATTTCTCTCCTTTGTGTTCTGTGGAAAGTCAGGCTGCAGCATTCAGGGGCAATGGTACAATTATGTAAGAGCTCCTTTTCCCTTTCAGAGAGAACAGAGTGAAAATCTCCAGGGATCTCTGTTTGTCTTTTGGCAGTGCCTGGCAATGCTTAAACGCTGCTCAATATTAAACAATCCTGCTTGGGACCAGCATTTAAAAAGTAACAAAATATGTTTGGTGTTGTTCTCTCAACTAATGTCTCTTAGGTTGCAAAGACCTGGGGCATGGTTGAGAGGGAGAAACCATTTTAATTCTTGCAGAGAATAAATATATCTCTCATGAATGGAAGAACCAGCTGTACATCAGGAGAATTGTTGGGACTGCAAGTATTTGAGGGGGCATTTAATACTGAAATGGTGATCAGGAGCCTTAGGCAGTGTGAGAAATGTGCAGGGACACTTGTGATGAATGGCTCTGTTGGGGTGTGCTCCTCAAGGTGACAGATCACACCCAGCCAGCAGTGCAGCTCCCCAGGACCTCGATGGGACACCCATTAATTGTGCTTTAAATGAATCACCTCGCTGCTCTGTTGGCTGATCCCACCCCTCCTTTGTGGTGTGCTCAGGAGTGCACACGAGTTCTTACAGTGCAAAGTGCTTTAAAAACACTAGTTGACTTTATGTCAAGGGGGCTGATTGTACATCTCTGAACTCATTCAATTAAATGGTGTAGGTGGTTTTATTTTGGTTCTCAGCCAGTTTTGCTTCCAGCTCTTATTCTGAGGAATTTTTTTAACCTTACTGAACTTAAAGAACAAACAGCAATTTTCTGTTGCTCTAGGCATTTTGTTCCTTACAATTTCCCTTTACTAAATACTGAAGCAAATTTTTATAGGGCTGGTTTGCATCACTTTGGGCTGGTATTTCTGAATAGCAATTTGTGATTTTCTTTTTGAAATTTAAAAATAGTTTCAGATGTATTTTGGTTACTTCAGGGAAGAAAAAAACCTCACAGAAAATCAGTAGTTTTGAAGTACACTTGCATTGTACCAGCAGAAAGTGAAAACATTAATTATTGTTTAATAAACTTCAGCTGAATGACAGAGCTGATAAAAGCAAAGATGAATATTTCTGTGTTCTGAAACAATGTTCCTTCCCCCTCTGCACCCAAATGTTTTCTCCTAACAGTTTATTCTTTCTTTTTCTCTATGTAAATATTATGGGACTCTGATGTAAGTGTAACAGATTGCATGAATTTTCCTCTGAGGTGTTTGGAATAGACTAGCACTTAACAACTCACTCATTTGTGGGATGTGTTTTCATTAACGGATGACTTTGTTGATGTAATTAGGTTTGTTTGCTTTGGTTGCATTTGACTCCAGCTTTGGAAAGGATCTGTGCCTCTGTTTGGTGGCTCCTGGGCAGTGTGTGCTGGTGTAGTTTGGCTGCTCCTAACTCCTTGGTTTGGCACTGAAAACTGCTGGGGGAGGACAGGACTTGGGTCAATGTCTTTTGGAAATGATGGTGAATTTATCTTTGTTGCAGGGGAAAGAAGCTGATGGCCATCGTAGAATAAATATCTGTTCTCCCGTGCTCATTCAGTGCTGTGCAAACCTCTTTGTATGAATGATGCCCTGGAAAGGCTTAACTTTGGAGTGACTTTGCCTTCCATTACATTAATACAATACATCACTCTTGGTTTGTGTAGTCTGTGACTGTGGTTTTCCCCATTGCCCCTGAGAATTCAAGTGATGAGAAAAAGAAATATTGTGCCTGGCAAAATAAGGGGAGTCCAGTGTCAAAGTTGCCTGAGTCCCACTGTAACTGTACTTAAATGTCCAGATTTTTCAGAGGATCTAGATCAAAGTCATTTGTTCATTTGCACTTAGAGTGGGCCAGGTCCTGACTTCTGTTGTCAGGAAAATCCAAAGGAATTGGGTACAGATTTACATGGCAATATGGACCAGAGTCTGAACCAGAGTGATTGCTGAACCAGCACACTGCTGAATCCCAGATATTGCTGTAGGAGGAGTTCTGCAAGTGAAAGTTCTCAGCCTTGTTGAAACATAGAGATCAAAGGTTGCAATGATCTGGCCCCACATTTCCTGCTCCATGCTGGCTTGTTCCCCGAGGTGCATTAACAGCTCAGATCCCAACTCTGCAGAGCACTCCAATGTCTGCTTTACCTTGCAATGTGCCCATTTTCAGGGCTTCCCTCCCAATGTGTTGGTTGTATCAGTTCCCTTGGGAGGAATTATGATGAATGATAGGAACTGGAATTAAGGGAATTTACTGGAATAATCTGTTTCCATAGACTGTTTAGAGTCAGATTCCATCTTGCTTTAGTGGAGAGAGGAGTGTAATCTGGTCTGTGCACAAAAGGTGTTTGCAAGAGGCAGCAGCAGCTTTAGGCCTGGAACTCCAGCCCATTTCCCACTTTCACACAAAGCTGTGGAGCCTTAAATGTAACAGGTGGAGACCCCTAAAACACATCCCACACTGGGATGGGCAGTGAGAGTGTCCCAGACAGAGCCAGGGCAAGGTCTGGTGTCTGACCCATGTTTTTACACAGCCACCTCCTGGCTGGGACAGTCCCTGGGGTTGTTGGTGCTCCCTGGAGCAGCACACTCTGCTGACTCTGCTGCTTTGGGGACATCTGATAGTGACCCCACAGCCTCAGATCATAAAGATGGCTCTTAGAAACACACAGGAGGTCACCCAAGGCCAAGTGCTGTCCTCAAAATGCACGCTCCAGCCCTGGCAATGTTTAACTCCTCAGTCTTTACCTTCTCTGGTAACAACCCTTGGTGTCCCAGAACCCTTCCATTCACTTTAAACCTCCATCTCCTTTCTCAGCAGCTCCTCACAGGTGTGTTTGTTCTTCTGATTAACCCCTGCCTTACATTTTTACTCACTCTCTTGGTGTCAGAAAATCAGTTTTTTATCATATCATCACCATATTCACAAAAACAACAATTTCAGAGCCAAAGGCTGGCACCCCAAAGCCTGGCAGATCAATATGAGCTTGGCTTGCTCCAAATACAGATGTCCTTCCCAAGGCAGGGAGTCCACCCTTCTTGTTCCAGGTCTGAAGGAAAGTGCTGTGTGTATTACAGATATTTCCTCATCCATGGCCACAAAAGTGGTGGAAAAGCCTGGGAGAGCCCATCTTCCTTCTTCCAGTTCAGTGAGGCTGGAGCCAAGCTGGTTCCCATTTGGGCGGTTTTCAGTGTCCCACTCACAATGACGTGCAGCAGGGAAGAAAAAGGCACCAGCCCAACTTCCAGTGAAGCTGCAGGGATCAAAGCAGTGTGTGCCAGCTGGGAGGCTGAGCTCTCCTTGATCTTCCTGGGAGCAGCTTCAGGACATGATGTGATGCTTGGGCTGATGGGGAGAATGGAAAACCTGCAGGAGGCTGTGCCTGCTGTGGGGGTGACATGGTGGCAGAGCTCACTGGGTATCTTTTCTGCCCAGCATCTGATTTAAGAGAGAGCCCAGTAACGAGGAAAGCAATGTGTGCTGCAAACCCATGGGATTCACAGCAGCATTGTCAGGCTGACAGCTCCTTCTGGCTCCTTCTCCATGGACTGGCTGGCTGTGGAATGCAGCATGGCACGTTGTCATGGTTCTGGTCACTCAGCCAGTGTCTCCTCACTCTGGGCGCCCACCACCCCAGCGCTGGGTGTCCCACACTCCTCCATCCTGTCCCATTCCAAGCCCTTTTTCCCTGGTGAAAGGCCCTGTCTGCTCTCAGTGCCCATGGCTGGGGTGTGTTGTTCACTGTGCAAACCTCAGCGAGGCCATTAAAAGAGGTTCTGAGCCACTTCTGCTAAACTTGGCTAAATTTTGATTTGGCTTAGGCAGGCAGCAAAGAACAGCTTCCACATCCAAGAGGGTCTAAGCTAGGCTGCTCCTGGGTAGATCACTTCCCAAGAGGTGGGATAAAATTACTATTTTGTCCCATAACATTCCTGTACTAGAGAACATTTAATTCTCCCCACAGTGCATTATTCACTCTACATCCTACACAGAATATAAACCTTTCAGCATTATCCTGGGCCTCTCTGCAATGTGCTTATCAACATCTTCAGCACAGCTGGGGAAAAAGCCAACTTCCAGCTCTTCCTGCAAAGCTGCAGTGGTGTTTTCCAGCCTGCCCGTGTGAATGGTGATAAAGGGGGAGAAGCACAGGGTCAGTGGGCAGAGGATGGAGTGCACAGGCTGCTGTCTCGAGCAGCAGCTGCATCCTGTGGGCTGAGAGGGATCACTGCTGGCTTTAATCTGGCACTGGGGAGAGCCCCAGTGACCTGCTCCTGACTTGTGGTGTTGCTGTAGCCAAATCATTTCCCCTCTGTCTGTTACCCAGCTGGAAGAGCTGTGGAAGAATTCAGTTCTTTTGGGCTTTAAGAATCAAAAGGGATTAGTAAGTATTAGATGTTGAAGAATCCTCTTTGGTTTCAGGCTTTGGGGTTCAGTCTTTGGTCCAGCAGACTCTTACACAGGCTGAGACAAGAAGCACAGAGCATTATTTCTATGTATGTTCATGCAACAAAGTATAGACCCAGTAATTCTGATTAGTGCCACCTAGACAGCAAGTAGTTCCCCTCCTGCCATGTTTTGGAATCAAAAAAGCCTTCTCAGTTAAACAGAGAAACCTCCAGCCCTGCTGGTAAGAAACCATGGAGAGCAGGAAACTTGGTCATGTTGAGTTTCCTCTTCTGTACCTCTTGCTTTGGGCTGTTCATTAAAAATGTACTGTGTGCATTTAGGCAGCAAATGGATTGTGTTGTGTAGCACAACCAGTCCCACAAAGATTGTGCTACAAGGGTAAGAACCACCAAGTGTTTGTGGGTTGAAGTTATGAGGCCCCAAACTGCCTTCAGGAACATCAGCAGGGCCAGTGCTCCACCACCACATTTACTCCAGGGTGACAGAAGAGACACTTTTCCCTGCACTGGTTCTCCAGCAGCACACCCACTCGATGAGGGTCCACTCAATGCCTGGTGAAGCTTTTTGAGAACTTCAGTGGATCTCAGACTGAGTCTTGACCTGACCTTGACCACAAGGCTTGCCTTGACCACTCTCAGTTTCAAGTCTGTAAGTGCTGCTGTGTTTCCTATTTCTGCATCCCCAGCAGCTCTCTCTGTGCTTACCAGAGAACTTCAACACCCATTTGGAGTCTTCTAGAGGAAGCAGTAGATGCAGGAGCTATGGATGGAATCAGCAATTCAAGAAATCAGTTATTTTATTTATCCCTGAGCAAACAAACAAACAAACAAATCTCTTTCTAGTGTCAACCTCCCAGACATCTAAAGCTGTGAATTTAGTCTCAATTCTGTGTAAAATAATCAAAGTAGACTTTATAATGGCTTTGTAAACAAGAGCCTATTGATTTCTAACCCCACAGCTGCTATTATTAGAGTGTGATGTGTGACCCTTCTGTTTATTAATCCCTGGGTGATGCATGGCTTTGCAGTGAGTGACGTTTGTGTGAATCAAACCATCACTGATTTCCTCGTCCCCTGTCTTCACATTTAGGCTGCAAATGGCTGTGTTAAATAGGTGAATTAAGTGTGGACATTAGGTATGAGAAGCCACCTGAGACAAACTGTGAAACAAAAGGCTCAGTGTTCTCAGATGATGAAGAGAACGATTGTGCATCCCTGAACAAAAGGCCCAAAAAGAAGGATCCACCCCTTGAGGTACTTCCATACTGTCAAGACTCCTCCTTCTATGAGTTCAACAGGAATCTCCAACTGAGCAAACACCTCTCTTTGGTCTAAACTCACTAAATACACTTCAAGTTGCTTCATGGAAACAAAAGAACTAAAGGAAATGCAGATCTCGCTCTGATTTGCCAACATTTTAGCAACATTTCGTTATGGAGGAAATAAAACCTCCGTGGGAGATGCTGTAGGCAAAGACTCCTTGCAGATGTGGGCAGGGTGGATGGAGGCACAGCTGAGATCTCCCCCTGTGGGAAGCTGAGTTTGTTCCCTCCCAGGTCCTTGCCCTGGCTCAGTGTGAGGGAGCAGAGCTGTGTGGTTTGGCCTGCAGCTGCCATCCCTTCTGCTGGGCTGCCACCAAACTCTGGGCTGCTCTGTTCTGGCCATGGGAAGGTGCAGCCTCTGCAGCCACTCCCAGAGCTGTGCAGTGGCCTCCCAAAGGAACAGAGCTGTTCATGCCCCGTTTAGGAGCCTTGGCTGTGCAGTTAATGGCAGCTTTGCTTTAAGAACCACACGGTTTCCCCAAGAGCATCCTTCTCCCAGGCTGCTGGAGGTGCTGCTCTGGTTGTCTGGCTGTGTCCCTGGGCTCCTGGGTTACACAGAGCTCCTCTGAGCAGCTGTGGATCCAGCTGTGGTGTGGGATCCATTGCTGCTGTAAGTGCACAGCAGCTTTGCTCCTCTCCTCTGCTCCAGATCCCATCCAGATCTGCTGTGCTCTTGGGGATTCACTGCAGGGACCTGGGGTGAGATTTCAGGCTTGGAAGATGGGGTGAAGTGTTGGATTAATCCCATCTCTGTGAGAAACTACTTGGGGTTATGGTCAAGCTAGAAAAAATGGAGATTTAGGTGTAATCTAAACAAAACCTCACTGTGCTGCAGTCCCTTGTCTATGTGAATAGTTATACATTGCTGCATCATGGGAATGCAGAAATGTGGCATGGTTTTGGGTTTGAAAGTCCTGTAAAACAGAAAAGTCCTTGCTTTGGTCCTGTCAGGCCCTTACAGGTAAATTTGGGTTAATGCTATTAAGAAAGCAAGGCTTTGATGTTTATGTAAATGGAGCAGAAGATCCTACCACACCTTGCAGTGTTACTGGATGCAGTGACAGGCCTCACACTGAGAATCCATCCCCGTTACAACATCTGATAACCATTTCTTGTTGTGAAGCTCATGAGACACAATCCCACACCAGATGAGGGTTTTTTCTTTCATTTGTTTGCTGGCCTAATGTCTGTCAGAGTCTGGAGAGCAGGGTTAACCACAGGAAACCAAATTCCTGGAGCTGGTCTGCCTCCTCCTGGGCAGTCAGGGCTCCTTGTAAAAGCTCTGCACCAGCTGACTACAAGGCAGAACTCCAATAGCTGGTTTCTAAAATAATTTCAACAGATTTTGTCTGGCCTCTTTCCCAAGCAAGGAGGTGATTTTAAGGAGTTCTGCCTCATGAGAATTACAGTCCTGGTGTGTTCCATCATGGGAAACCCTTCAGCTCTGTAATGCCATGAGCTGTACCCTCTGAGGAGCTGAGGATGGGTTGGAAGGGCAGGATGGGCTGGGAGACACCAGAGCTGGCTCCCTGCCACCAGTTGGATCTCTAGATCCATGAGCTGCTGTAAATGGCACCAGTTTGACCTGGCTTTTTCAGCTGTTGAGTTATTAGCAATCCTTAGCCACACCTCTAGCCAAGCACCAGAGGGGAATGTGATGATTACACCTGGGTGTACAACAGGGTTTTTAAAGAGATTAGTCCTCAGCTGGCCATTCATTACTGATCTTCAGGGCCAAAACCTCTGCACTATTTCATGAGAGGAATGGGATCCTATTCACAGAGGTCTCACAAAGATGGGTGTGTTGTAAGGAAGAAAAAGGTGTTTCCTACTCAGCCTCTGAAGTTTTGCCTTGTTTCTCTGCAGGCACCGCCTAGGACTCTCAGACCTCGCTTCAGGAAGAAAAGTACCTCGTCCTCTGCCACTGAAACAATGTGAGTGCAATGAGCCAATAGCACCAAGATCCACAGAATGTCTCTCTTCTGCCTTAAAGAGCTACTCATTGATAACCTAGGAAGCAGCAGTGGGATGGATGGATGTGCTTTGACGTGCAGCACTGTAGACATGGCCTTTCCCCTCCTCTCTCCACGTCCCTCTGTGGCACCTGCTGCTGCTGCTTGTCCCTGCTGTGAGTAGGACAGTCTGGCACGTGAGGGCTCCTGGTTTGGTTTGCAGAGTGTGCACCCACCCACAGTGTACATTTCCAGTTTCATTTGTGTCTGCATAGCTCTTGCTCTGTGAATGCCCAGAGGAAACAACAATATTCAGTTACTCATCATGCTACATTGACAGTGTATTTATTTATGGCTTGATCATGGATGAAGTGGATTTGCAGAACCCATGGATTTCTCTTTCCTCCCTTCCTCCTCAAGACTGTGAATGATGTAACAAATGTCAAAGTACTTTGACTGTACAAAATGTCCAAGATTTGTTAGAGAAAGCTGAGCTGCAACTGAGTTTTTCTGCAAGTAAATCACATGTTCTGAGAAAACCATTGTGCTAAACCCACAGAGACAAGACCACTTACAGAGGATGAGGAAGTGATGTGCAAGAGAAAAAAATTGTTTCAATGATGTAATGAAGGGGGAGTCCTAGTTCCAATCAGCCAATGAGCCAGGAGAGTATTTTGTGGAAAATGATGCGTAGAAGAACTAAATCCCACCACTTGTGGCCCATGTTCTACTGTGAGTTCTAAAGTGTGAGCAAGCCAGGCTTGAGCAAGCTGCAGCAGCAGAAATTAGAATGGCTTTAGTGATGCATTTCTGGGGAAAACACATCTTTCTCCCCTGCTACAACAGTGCCAGTCACAGCCCTCTGCTCTGCTGCTGCTCTGCTGGCATGAGCAGAGGAGGTGCTGGGTCTGAGCTGCTTTTTGAAGCCTGGAGTTTCTCCTCTAGCACTGAGTTTGGTTAGAACCACAAGAACCAGATGGAGTGGTTTATTTGTATCCATATATAAATGGGAAATATAAAAGAAGAGGAAGACATGGTAGGGTTTGTGTATTTGTGCTTCAAGTTGGTGTCTCTTGTAAGTGTTGAGCATGTGAGATTCACACATCAGTTTAATAAACGTGACCCTTTGTGTTTGCTCTTGGACCTGTCACATAGACTAGAAAAAGATTTAGCATTGTGTAGGATGTGCCATCACCAGTGGATCAGCACAGGAGCTCCATGGTGTCACTGCTCATCTGGCTCAGGTGCAGCAGCCCAGGGTGCCAAAAGCCAGCTGCAGTGTGCCAGGCTCAGAGGTGACTCTGAAGTGGCCTTTGAAACCATTTCTCTGCCAGGTGTGCATCCATATCCCAGCTGCACATCTGGTGGATCCCTGAGGTCACCCCCACAGCTTCCTACATGCGTGGGGCAGAAAAAAATAAATTACACACACAGAGAAATGTTTATCTGACCTGGCTAGGAAATGGAAAATCAAGCAGGTGTTTCCTGTGTCTGCCACAGTATTTGGCCTCATTACCTGAGAATTTTATTTCCATGTGCTGATTCAGTCATATTTTGCAAATTTTGAAAAATTCTTCAGAAAGTAAATGAAAAAAAAAACCCCAAACAAACCTGTCTAAAGAGCAGTTACAGAAGAGTTGGTCCCTGGAAGATAACTCAGCAAAAGCTTTGAGAAGCTAAGCTTATGTATTTTACTTCTAAGCAGCTTTAGAGTTTATTTCATTTCTTTTGGCTAACATTAAAAAGAAATAGGAAAACTGCCTGCACTGTTAGCAGAAAATAAAATCCTGTTGCAAGCAAGCCATGTTTCCCTGCTATGCAATGGGCTGCTGTAAGATAAAAAAGAAGCTGACAAGTTTGCACTCAATTATGCCAAATAACCCCAACAACATAGAGCTGCATAACATCTGACAAGTTCTAATCTCAGCCACGCTGTATTAACATTGATTCTCACTAAAACTATTTAATGTGCGTCTAATCTGCTGTTTTACTGTAAACTTGACTGTTTAGCATTTCTTAAGTGCTGAGGTGAAATGTTGACAAGGGAGTTGCCTTATATCTCTCAAAACATTCACTGTATAAATGAGAAAAAATAAACCTTTTCATATCTCTGGAAAAGAAAAGCTGTATTATCAACGGAGCTGTATATTTGCATCTAGATAGACAGAACTGTGAATGCCTGACCTCGTGCACTCGTGCTCCTTGTGCTCCAGTGCTCTGTGCAGACGAGAGCGGCCACTCGCTTTGATTGCTCACCTTCCTCTGATTCCTCACTTTCCTGACACAGGTTGTTTGCAGGGGCTGCCCCAGGCTGCCAGCTCGGTGTCACAGCTGCTGTGGTTCATTCTGGATAAACACCACCCCTGAAGTCTTCTGTTCCAGCTTTCCTCTGGAGCCTCTGCCAAGGAACGAGCCCTGTTCAGTGATTCTCGCCTTCGTGCACTGCTGCTGACCCCTCCTGGCAAACAGGGGTGTGCAGGATGGATGGATGGATGATGGATGGATGGATGGATGGATGGATGGATGGATGGGGGATCGATGGATGGATGGATGATGGATGGATGGATGGATGGATGGATGGGGGATCGATGGATGGATGGATGATGGATGGATGGATGGATGATGGATGGATGGATGGATGGATGATGGATGGATGGATGGACGGATGGATGGATGGATGATGGATGGATGGATGGACGGATGGACGGATGGATGGATGGATGGATGGATGATGGATGGATGGATGGATGGATGGACGGACGGATGGATGATGGATGGATGGATGGATGGATGGATGGACGGACGGATGGATGATGGATGGATGGATGGATGGATGGATGCTTTCTAGGCATGTGTTGGAAAGGAGTTCTCAGCTCCCTTCCTGCTCCAGCTCTGGGTGTGCAGGCTGGTTGAGCACTTCTAGATCTCCTCTCCTAAAATCAAGCAATCTTTCAGCAGATCTGGCCCAGTTTAAAAAGCCCAGTTTTGGGGCCTTTCAGGCAGCTGGCCCCTACCATCAGTCCTGTAGGGCAGGCAGCACCTCCTGATGTCTCAGAGAGGGCTGAGAGAGTGGAACTCTGAAGAGAACAGGCCAGGCCTAGGAAACAGCCTTTACCCAGCTCAAGGCTCCAGTGAAACGTGCATTATTTTAATCACATAAAATTGAGGCTGAGGGGAGATAAACTGCAGCTGGAGGTGGTCTGTGGTAAACAGGCCTGTGAATGATCTCCCCAATTTACCATAAACTTGTGCAGTTATGAAGAAATAAGCCTGGAGCCTCTGTGCCTCCCTCCTGCCGTAGGGGTCAGCATCAGCGCAGCTCCAGCAGTCACCAACTGCTGAATCAGGATCCCACCAAAAACAAGACAGACTTCACGTGTGTCCCTCTCACTCTGAATGAATCAATCTAAAACCCTTGTGGAAGTGCAAACCCAGCACAGAAGGAAAGAGAATCAGGCAATTAATTCCTGCTAGGAGGGAGAGAGCTCCTCCTGTAAACAACCTGCTGCCTCTGGCTGCCGGCGAGTCCTCGTGTCGTGATGAACCCTTGTGCTCCTCACCCACAGTCTCCCTTTTGCTGTTAGTTTCAGGTTCCTGTTTTGCATCCAGCACATTTGAACTAGCAGAGAACACGTCGGGATTTGCGTTTAGACAAACTATTTAAGGCTCATAATTGTGCACTTGGTGTGATTTCTTTCCTGTGATGGGTAGAAAAGGTCTGTGATACAATGGTACACTCGATGCCTCACAAGGACGGCCATTACAACTGTTTTCCAAAGGTTTGATGTTTTGCTGGTTTTGTTATACTGCTTGATATACATCTTGAATAAAGTCTTAATCTTTTCTTTATTAAAAAAAAAAAAGAACAAAAACCAAAACCAAACATCTTTAGTCTGTTCAATGTATCTGGCAGGCCAGAAGAATCACTTTGATTGCTGTATTATTTTTATCTGAATTCTGGCTGACTGTATATAGATGTATTCACTAAGTGCTGCATGTCCTTCAGAACTTTCTGTATCATGAACTGGAAAAAGAACAAAATACAGCTACTGAACACTCTGAGTAACTAGTGAATTCATTGCAATGCTACAGCCTTGTACAGCAAACCACCTCTGCTACACAGGCAGCTCTGGGGCTGAGCACCAGGGACTCTGCTCAAAAATGGGATCAGGGAATGCTTTAAAGTACTGCTTTCATACACTCTGGAGTATCAGCTTTGCAGAGAAAACATCTGATCCAAGCCTTACCAAAAACAGGGTCTAGTTGATCTGCTCACTCCAAACATATCCCATTATTAACCTTTGGAGTTGTTCCATTTATGTGTGACCAGGAATGTGCAGTATGAGGTCTATTTACACTTAAAGGAAAAAACAAGAAATTACTCTGACTTGTCTGCTTGAGGTCGTTGTGCAGGACACAAAGAATAGATTCTACTACTCAAAAACCAACAGAGGACACAAAATGTGAGTCCTGTAATGAAAGCTGGTGGCCAATACATTTTAAAATCAGTTATAAAACCAGCATGTAGCTATGAAACTCTGGTTTGGGTTTTTTTTTTTCCCTGCACTTTCTAGCATGGACACAAGGCAATAGTGTGTTATTGTGACAGGCAACAATGCTAAGATAGACCCTGCTCTCCTTTTTCCCCTTCCCCAGAAGACTCCATTCAGTGAGCCACCACTTAGTATGGATAGAGAAAAATAGATTCTGGGGTTATTAAAACATATTTATCTAAAAAAATAAGATTAAGTATGTTGAATTATTCACTTTTAGTGCTGTTTAGTGTATTCCTCCATGACAGACAATCACAGGAAACCACCAGACATGAGAATGTGTAGGTGACCAGCCTGACCTCTGCTAAAACAAACAGCAGATGAAGATAAATTCGAGTATTCCTTTATTGTGGGCATTGACTCCCATAATTCTGCTCAGATTTTTATTTTAAAAAGTACAGGCATTACAGATGCATGTTCCAAAACCCAGAGCATGTCACACGACCAGAGATGTGGCAAACCCCAGATTCTACACACGGAGATTTGTGCGGTCGTGGTACTTCTGGTAGGGGTCATCAACGTACCAGGTCCTTCTTTTCCAGAAGGAAGTGGTCATTTTATCCAGGAGCTTACACTGTGTCCTGGTGCACAGCACCAACTCCCTCAAACGCTTCTTCCTGGCAGCTGACTTCTTCCA